TGATTATTAAAATATGATTCATTGTATTATCATTATTATTATTGTTGTTTATTAGCTTTTTTTTATTATTTCTGGACATTTTTATTTTCTTTATATTTATGCTTTTTTTAATGAAACTTGAAATATTAGAATCTCGAAACACAAAGTAATGAAAAAAACTGATAATTATTGTTATCGTGAGTGACTCTAGCATAAAAAGATAATCTGAAGAGACCTGACCAGATTCGTGAGACAGAGCCGGAGAGTGAAGGAAACATCATCTTTTTAACCATATAGTCCTAAAAACTGAAAACAACTTTTGGTCAACTGCTGTCCGTGAATGAGGTGGTGACCTTTTTTATAATCAATATTGTTCCAGGGCTGCCAACTCTCATGGATCGGCCTTTAGACTCATGCAGTTCAGTCTAATCTTATACTGTCATGTGACATTTGTTATACATTTTTACAAAATGACCTACAGATGAATCTGAATGCTCATGAAGCTTCCTACTCCTGAGTCAAACACTCTGGACCGGCAATGGTGGTTTACTTGAATACAAAAAAAGAGAAATATATTATAAATTACATAAAAACAAAAATGAGAAAGAGATCATGCTAGCTATTCAGTCTCTGCCGGTCCATGTGTGTTGTAGATCAGTAGGGGCAAAGTTGGTTCCCATAGCAACAGGGAACCAAAGAGGGAATTCAGAGTGTGCACTGAACACTGTGCACTCATGTGTCAAAGTGAGCTAAACATAATCAATAACAAGAGCAACATTCATGACTGCATAGTATATGCTGCAGATTGACCACAGTGTCTCACTCACACGCTAAACAGTAAGCAGTGCTAAAAGCAGGCTGTCCTTTAAACTTTCACCATCTCTCACACAGATCTAATCTCTCTTGCACTGTTACTTGATCTTGTTTGCAATACATGTTCATTCCTTGCATATCTTTTGTCATATTAGGCCATTCATAGATATAGAATATAACAATATATTAACTGAGAAATAAACTGCTCTGGGACACCCACTTCTGGCTGCACCGTACCGCCGCCACTGGCTGCACTGCTGGTTACCATTAACTAACTATATAATATTTGTACAAAATATTACACTATAATTTATATATTAAAAATATTGGTTTTATATTTAACTGACATAGGTAGAGTTGATGTGGATACAGGCATGTAAGAGATACAGCTTCTTTTAGTGATATTTGAGAGAGAATTTCAGTAGCTGTGTATATTTAAAAGTAGTTCCAAAAAAAAAGAAAAATCAAATGCAGTGAGGCAACCTCCCCCAAACCTCATTCTGTCCACCCCATAAACGCCCCAACTCAATTGCAATTGAATGCCTTCTTTGCTCCATAAACCTATGAGGCATTCCGTCTCCTCTGCTTTTACAACAGTCCTTTCCCAGCCATCACACAACTTGAAAATGGAAGTGACATGTTGAAGCAGTCGCATTACAAAATGAACCAAGTACGCAACCCCATGCGCAGTTTCCTCTTTACAAACATTACAGGGTGTGCATGCAGCCAAAACCACTTTGGTAACATAGCTGGTCATAAGAGTGTAACATTAGTCAGCTGTAATCAACGTATATTCACATAAAACAGACTTAGTTTTAGATTAAGTTGGCAAGTTAGTTAGCTAGGCTATGACCTATTAAACAAAAGCAATTTTATTTATTATATTTACATTTATTTATTATTATTTATATTATTTATATAAATCACACACAGTGCTAACTTACTCATTACCTAGCTAGCTAATGTTAGCAAACAGAAACGTACTAGTGTTGTTGAAATGTCCTATTGTAGCGCATATTAATAGATAGAGCTCTACATGAAACTGTAGGTAGGGTATTCTGACCTAATTCACATAAAGCTGAAGTGAGCTTCTTGCTCGCCAACTTCAAATTTTCCCATTCCACTTTAAGTGGTGCATTCTGGCGCCTCAGGCCACTGCCTGCTCAGACACCATTTAAGGTGGAACAAAAAAATTCGAACAAAAAGCTGGTGAATAGGAAGCCAACTTCAGCCTTGTCTAAATCACTGTGTTAGAAAATGCTACCAGTATTAAAACTACAGTTTGGATGTGCTGAAAAACTCCTTTGGGACCATCAGGACCCCAATCCGCCTTTTTGATGGCCTGGATCCATAAGCTTCTGTGATGTTTGGCAAAGGGATATGCCCCCCTCAGGATATTAAACCATCTTCTCTGTGGTTGCCGCAGTTTGCTGCACAGCAACTCCCTGTCATTGTTGCATTATGCCGTTAAGAGTGCTGCTTTCTGTTGCTTTCTGCCCTCCAGATGCACATGCATCTCTGTGATGATGCTGCGCAGAAACCCTTCCTCAGCTTCCACAGGCACAGCACAGCACACCAGAGATCACTGGAAGCAAACCCCAGATTACTGTTTTTAAAATAACCAGAGATCCAGTCTCCAGAACGCTTCTGGGCTCAAATGTACCAAATTCGCAGAGCAAGTGGTCCTGGATCCAGAAAACACCCTAGAGTTTCCTTCTGCTCCTGAGGGACAGTTCGCCACCCAGCATGTTTTTGTTTATTTTTGGAAATAAATGCGGTTGAGCAACCCAGAGTAGTTGGAAAACCATTTGGACTAAACTGGGTGATTAAAACTGACATTATTGTCTTAAATTAGAGCTCTAATACAGAGACTTAGGAATGGAGTTTTTATAGCCTGACCTATTACTACTGCTGATAAATCACAGTGGCTTTGACAGGAAAGGACCAGCTGACTGACATGAAAAACGGCTAACTTTAAATCTCTGTTTTTGCATGATATGCTGATAATTTGTGATCCAGCTGATTAATTTATTAATTATATATCTGTATCAAAAACAAACACAAACTATCCATAACTTAACACGTATTTTATTTTACATAAACTAATAGTTATCAGTTACAGTTAGTGATATCCACCACTGAGACATGGAAAAGACTCTTATAATTAGAAGCATTTGCTTACCTAACTGAATAATCAGAAGAAAAGAGTATCATTATCATGCTGGTTTTGTTATCATGCTGTTAAGATTAATCTTCTACTTTCTCTTCTTTGAGTCGGCAGAATGTGAATACTGTTCAGTTCAGTAAGACCTAGATCTCTTTCACTGGTTCACAATGACACTAATAATCAATCTGAATCACTTTTTGAAACATGAAAATGATACACATCTATGTTGCATAAAAGAAAAGCTTTATTGTTAAAAGATGGAAAAATCTGTTCCTGGAGACTAAATCATTTGTCACTAACCACAAGGAGACACTTTCAGATCCTCTCCAGTCACTCAAGCCCAACATCTTACAACACAAGAAGATGCCCTTGTTGCACAATATTATTGTAATTCTTTATGTGAGAATGAAAAACTCTATTTGCAGTAGCTTATTCTTCTGGAATATTGTAATGTATGTGGATACAAGCAGTTGTCAACTGGCTCTCAACTGTGTAGCTTGATGATCATTTAAGTAGATCTTCCACTACTAAGTGTTAATATGTAGCCTTATTTCACTTAGTAATTCTATTATAAAGGCATGAAGGTTTGTATCAGAACCCTACAGAACTATTTATTGTGCACTTTTAATATACAGGTGCCATAAAGGGTTTGGCAAAAAATCAAATTTACACAATTTTCCACTCACCCCAGATGTAGTTGATCACCTGAAATGTTTTGTGTCCACATTTTGTTTCTTTAGGTTAAGGCTGGAGCTATGTGGCTAACATTGCTAAAAACTCTACAAATCAATAGTCAACCACATTTTTTTATTAAATACATCCTCAAAACGTCTCTTAACCCACTCAAATCACATTCAGGTCTTCATTAAGTTTGTGCAGACTTGATAATGTTGATTTGGACACAGTATGAATTACTGTAAACTATTAAAAACAAAAGTTCACTGTGTAGCCAAATGCTGAGGTCAGCCAATTTAGACAACAGGCCTCTCCTCTTAACATGCTTACATGGCATACAGGTATATGGATGCTAGATTAGACACAATATCTGTTTCTGTTTAAGTCAAAATTTGGTTAGAAAATTCATTATTAAGAGTGAGTTGTTAGAAATAACGACATAATTCAAAATGTACTCAGTAAGTAAACCTAAGTAAGAATAATGTGAAAAGACTCAGGTGTCTGTTGACTTCTAGCGTCTAACAAAGTTAGCTTCTTAGCTTTAGCATTAAAGAAGCAAAATTCACTACATCTGCAGTAAGTGGAAAATTCTGTAAATTGGATTTTTTTTTTTTACCATTTCAAGCCAAGAACCTTTTAGTTTTATTTACTTCTAAGAATATACTGTACCTTCATGTTAAATATGCTTATGCTGCAAGTCCTAACACTAAATCACTGCACACACACACACTTTAAAAACACACTTAAAAACACAATTAATCACAAATAAAACACTTTAAAAACACAAATAATCAAACAAACAAAATCAACTTAACTAGCTTTTTAAAACTGGCATTTCTCATGTAACTGTACTAATCAGGGCCCAGTTTCCCAAAAAGCATCTTAGAATTAAGATCATATTCACTGGCACAGAGAGTATTCACTGTGACGCTCGCTCTACCATTTATGAGTTATTTTGGTGCTTTGGTAAAACCAGTTCTCTCTAAAGCTATACTGTACTATGCCGTATCATGGCCTGAATATGTCTGCAGTCAGGTTACTGACATCAAGTGGAAGCTTGGAGACATCACATCCTGCCTTCTGCTACAGTGATGAAGAAATGAACTGTGTTATGTAATATTTAAATAACATAAATTTAAATAAATCTTACTATATTTACTTTATCCATATTTATAGAGTAGAAAGTGCAAAATTAATGGCAAATAAATTATGATTTTTCTCATGGTTTAAAGCAACCACACTATAAGTTGTATGTTTGTAATTTGTGCATTTGTAAGTTGTAAGAGATTTCAAAGGCAGAAAATTGTCTTCATTGTCCTTATCTCCATGTAATGCTCAGCTAGCAGTAATCTCCTCAAGCCAAGAACAATGCATCTGTTAGTAGACTACCAAAGCTTGAGTTTGGCCTCATATACAGGTTTGCATACAGTGGCATCCAAACGTCCGAGACCACATTGAAAATCTACAACAATTGAAAGAAGAATTATTCAAAATTCTGCACTTTCTGAATGACTATTTACATTTAATCAAATTTGTGACATTAGGGCCCAATCCCATTTCAACACTTGCCCCTACCACTTAGCCCTTAGCCCTCCATTTTGTGAGTTCCCTAGAGGGAAGATTGTCCCCTTAACTGAAGCCCAGCAGCAACGTTGCTGAACTTTACTGCTTCTCTACTGTCACTGCAGACTGGCAGTGTCGCCTATAGAGCACTGCTAGTAGCCTGTTAATGAAGCAATGTTCTTTTTTATTTGAGGGTTGTCCCATTTCGTAGCGACACATTTCAACCACTACCTCTTGCAACTCAGTTCCAAAAGGCATGGTGATGCTCGAAAACAAGGGGTAAAAGTAAAAAATAAGAAATGGGATTGGGCCTAAGTCTGATTTTTTCGGTCTTTTCCTTTCTATTTTCACTCAAACTTTTGTGCTAATAATATAATTTGTAATAAAATATGTTGCCAAATAGAAGCATAGCCTTGGACTTCTGAGACTATCTTTGTATTAGTCCCAATTAAATAACCCAGTTTGAGGTCTTAATGGAATCCAAATCAAAATTTGAAGAAGACCCCAGAAGGACAAATCTTGTTTTCAACACTGGTCCTAATCTTATCGCTTGTACTCTTACACAGTACTGGTCTCGTGCAGGTTATAAAATTTATATGACTGACACTGAGACTGATCTCTTGATTCCACCTCATCATTTCCCTGCATCTCCTTCTCTACACTTCCAGTTTCTGCTTCTGTAGAAGACAAGCTTTTGGGGTACATCTTCTTGTTCAGAATCTTCTCAATAAGAAATTTGATTCTTTCCTTTTCCTGCTGCTGGAAGAATGAAGAGGCCACTTTCCTGCGAAGGCGTCGAGCGTAGACCTCCAGGAAGGCGAGGCAGTAGCTAAGGAGATAGAGCAGGCCCAATGAAACCAACACACTTGGATTCAGCATGCTCGGCTTGGCCTTGCACTGAGCTGCATCAGGACTGATGATGGCACTGTACATTTTGCGTAAGTTCACCATCTTTGTATGATCGAAGCAAGAAAAAAAAGGGCAGTACTGATAATCGACCTATTAAAAAACAAACAGAGAAGAAAGAGATTGATCAATGTTAAGTGGTGCTGATAGAGATCTATAGAAAATGGCATTCTCACAATGATTTAGATCAAATTTAGTGGTTTAGTGGTTCTCATGACAAACCTTGTGACTGTTTATATGAATAGAAAGTTAAAAGCAAACTCAATGTCATCTAGAAACCATTTGAAAATGATAGGACCTACCGTAAAATATGCCTGTATGGTAATATCTGTGGACGGTATGTCCAAAAGCCAACTCTCGCTTGTTGCTACAAGATAAAACACAATGTGGTCAAGCATTATCAGCATGACTGTCATCAACAGATACAGTGTGATCTGCAGAATGGGAACTAAACACCTAATCAGTTCTCTTTTTGTCATTCTGAAACTGGTGGAGTTCACTCCATTCTTCACATCCTTTGCTTCGACTTGGATCCCTCTATCATTCGCAGTTTTTCTGAGCAGTCCGGTGATGTAGACGTTATCGAATCTCACCGAGGTCAGGTACGACTTCAGGTAAATGGTGGAGTCCATGAAAAGATAGACCACAAAAATAGCAGCAAATATTCTGCTTGAGAGCAGTTTCCATTCCTCTAGCTGCTGTTTGGCTTTTGAAAAATCCTCCTCAACATGTTTGCTTAAGTTGTTCAGACTTTCTCTCAGCTCACTCACTTTAATGTCTGTGGAGTGGTTAAAGTTACTGAGCCTCTCCACAAAGTGGAATTCATTGTTTTTAATTGTCTGAACTTTACCAACTATGTCACTCTTTATTTTGTTGCTCAGCGCAGCTGAGCTGAGGAGGCTACGAGCAAGATTCTCTGTTGTGCATTTAACCAGGTGCGTTATTGTAGCTATGTTAGCAGCAATGTTGGGAAGAATGTGAAGAACCACGAGCATCGCACACATGGAAAGGACAAGTTTGCGTCCCTGTCTGGTACCCATTGTTGGAAACATCAGCGTAAATGCACAACGGAAAGGGTGAACGAGGAATGAGAGGATGAACACAGCTGTGCCGTAGATCCCCGCGGAGATGTCTGCGGTGAGTGGGTCGTACAAGAGGAGGTCCATCAGCCAGTGGAACAGCAGTGCAGCAGTACTCACTGAAATAGCAAGGCACATGAGCAGGAGGGTGAAGATTTGTCTGGCACTCCGTGGAGTTGGAACGGAGTAGGAGAACCAGACGAACTCAATGCTGTTCCTCAGTAATCTTCTGCCAGAAACACCAGATAGAGGGCATGAAAGTTAGGAGATAACAGTAATAAATCATCAGCTTACAATTACAAGGTTCTATCTGCGTTCAGTGCAGTTTGGAGACATTGACGATCAAAGATTTCGCTATCAAAATAGCAAAACTTGTATGTAGTACAATCACCTTTTCACCAAATTCACCAAAGTCATTGCCTTGAGATACTTTTGACCTTGCAACATTAAACATTTAGGATATTTGGATATTTTTTTAAATGGGCCAAACCCAGATTGAATATTTTTTCATTCTGAGATCTATCTCTAAGTTAGATCTTTAAGGTTCTGTCCACAAATAAACCCACATTGGTATGTAAACTTCACCAGACTGTTCAAAAAAGATATTTGTAGATATCTGTACAGGTTTCATTAGCCATATCAATATCATGAGCGAGATTAAACCAGGTTAATCTCATAACATGAATCTTTTGAATTAAGCATGCTACATGTATATGAGCACAGCAGTATGATGATAGGATAAATATTCTATGGTAAGTAATTTAAGGGAAACAGCATTATAAAAAACAGTATGAAAAAAAGGCTCCAGTATGTTTTTTTCTAATGTTTTTATGTATGTTAATAAATATATATTTATTGTTGTACGTCAACATTAGAAATATTCTCTCTCTTTTGAGTGTTGTTGTTTATCTCTTTGTGCTGTTTGTGCCTCTGCTTCACTGTCACTGCAACAATTCTCAGTATTTCTAAAATTAAATGTTTAAATAGTACTTTTATGACTTTTTTAGCTAGCTAATTTATCATGCTACTCTAGTAGCTACCTTGCTGTTTTGCAGAGGTAATTTGTTATAACTATAATCTGCATAACAGCATAACAGCAAGGTAGCTACCAGATTAAATTAGCTAGCTAATCAGTCATTGATCCTTGCTTGAACACAGCTTTTAGTCAGTTCTCTGTTTTGAAGAGATGATTGTTTAACTAGCTGGCTACCAAGCTGACCAAGCTACCAAACATAACAAACATTGGCAATTGCTAGCTAAATACACTATATAGACAAAAGTATTGGGACACACCTCCTAATCATTGAGTTCAGGTGCTTCAGCCACACGCATTGCTAACAGTTGGATATAATTAAGCACTTAGCCTTGAAGTCTTGATAGACAAAACACTCGCACCTAGCACGCCGCCAGTGGACTCTGGAGCAGTGGAAACATATTCTGTGGAGTGATGAATCACACTTCTCTATCTGGAAGTCCGTTGACAAGTCTGGGTTTGGTGAATGCCAGGAGAATGTTACCTGCCTGATTGCACTGTGCCAACTGCAAAGTTTGGTGGAGGAAGGATAATGATATGAGGCTGTTTTTCAGGGGTTGGTCTAGACCCCTTAGATCCAGTGAAGGGAAATCTTAACACTGCAACATACCAAGACATTTTGGACAATTCAACACTTCCAACATTGTGGGAACAGTTTGCGGAAGGCCCTTTTCTGTTCCAGCATGACTGTGCCCCAGTGTACAAAAGCTCCTCTGGATGAATGGGAGAAAATGACCTTTTGCTACTGTGATTTCTTATTGAATAATTTAACTAGGCTTCATAGCCAAGCACTGTAAACTGTAAAACATGAATTTTGATTGGTTATCCCACATTCATCAGCTGCACTGATAGGCTGATGCAGATAGAACTTTATGACACTAATTTATTATTATAACATTGGAGGCAAGGAGGCAGCCTTTTATTCAAATCAGAAACTGAGTAGCAGTGGTTTGTACAACAAACAAGTCCATAATGAAACAAAACCTAACAACAAGAAAACAAACAGAGTAACATCCACAATTCAAGACAAGAAGATTGAACCAACACAGAGGTATAAATACACTGAGGGGAAATAAGAAACACCTGAGGCAAATAAGAGGGCGGACCTACAGGCAGGTGGAGCAGATAACAGGGGAGCAGGACCAGGGAGGAGACACAGAACAAAACAACAACAAAAGCACATGGCTACAACAGAGGGGAAGAAACAGACACACTCTGGAACAAAGGGGAAACCGTGACAATTATACCATATATACCATAAAAGATAAGGAAGCTTTTACTTTGAAAAAAAAAACACTCTATGATACTTGCTTTTTCATTTTACCATAACATTAATAAACAGCACTAAATGATTAACTACATGCACATAAAATCTTAAAAAATTTTATTCTAAGCCCACAAACGAAATACCTTGGAATCTACTCTCTCCCAGTGTTAATAGAAGTCAGTTCCTTCCACCATATGTAATCACACAATATCTACCAAACTGGGTAAGATCTAACACCTGTGTGTGAATCAAATATCCAACTTTTTGAATCAGCAAGAATATTCCTGGGAATGGGCCAGTGCTCTCCAGTCCTGATATTAAAGTGTCCTCTTTCTGCTTGCCCAATAGTGACCATTCTGCTGGCTGAATGAAAAAGTTAACTTTTTAACTAATAGAATCAAATAAAATGTTTTCCTCTGTACACTTGGCTCTCTGTGTGTGAAATCTTGGCTCTCTGTGTGTGAAATCCCTGCTGAAAAAAATATTGTAGCAACATATCATTAAAAGTTTCTGTTGGCTCCTGGTGGTATCCCATTATCAGTAATAGTCAGTCATAGTTTGCTACTATGACAGGGCACTAACATTAGTCATCGGCTATCATTTGTTAATCTAAATACTCCTGTCCAATGGCAGGCTGATTTATTTTCTTTCTGTTTTACACCCAATGTTATATATTAATATTTATATATTAGTAAAATCCTGTTCTCTATTCATATTATCATTTTGCTATCTGGTGTCAAACAGAGGAAGGGGGGAGTTCCCTTTTGAGTCTTGGTTCCTCTCAAGGTTTCTTCCTCTTGCACAGTTTTTCCTTGCGAGTGTCACCGTTGGCTTGCTTATTGGTACTTGGATCTGGATTTCCTGTTAAGCTGCTTTGTGAATGCCTGTTGTAAAAAGTGCTATATAAATAAACTTGATTAGACTTTTTCACTTTTTTAGTGTCTCCTAATGGGTTGGTATCACAGTGTTCCCAGATGCATTTTATGATTTCCTAATGGGACCTAAAGGTGTCCTAAAGGAAACTAGTGGGCTCCAATAGTGACTATTAAGCCAATTTCCATTAGAAAGCAAATACATTAGGTTTTAATCCTAATGGTTCTAGTAGTCTTTTTTTTAGCAGGCATGTTGTGAATCTGCATTGGGCTGCTAGCGAGCAATGAGGGGCGAAACGATCCCCCTGCTGTGTGGAAACCATTCACACTTCTCTTGCTTTCTTGATATCAAGAAGTTGTAAACTGCCATAAAAAGTAGCATTTTAACACAATAAAAACATCTTTGTAATTGTTGACTTGTTTGTTTAAACATCTGGTTCACTTTTGGAAAGTCAAACATATTTCTGTCTAAATACATTCCATCAACATTATTGAAAAAAATAAAAAGCTTGGGACCTCCAAAAGCACAAATTTTGCATACATTTTATGGCCACTGTGCAAAGAGGGTACTTAATGCATGCTGTGCTACACCAGTTTTAGAATGGTGAGCTTGCTAATTTGCTGATGGGTTGATTTGGAAAAACACTAAAGTATGCAGTTGAGGGGGACTTGAGGACGAGAATTAGGAATTAGGAGAGTTAGATGCTCTTCCCCACCCAGTTAGAACATCCAAAAGTAAATACTACTGCACTCATGGCTGTTTCTTCACATTTAGGGGCGCTAAGTGGCGTCAAAGCCTCACCCCACACACCCCAGTTATATTCTTTTGCATGCATGAATAGAAAAACAATAAAAACTTTTTTGGAGAAATAATATTAAACACATTTGAAAAAGACATACTCAGGGTCCCTAAGCAACTGTTTATATTGCATGTAGTTAGAAATGACTATACTATATATACTACACTAATCAGTTCACTGCATGTGGCCCTAGAGACATACATTTCTGTCTTAAAAAACAAAATATTCACCATAACATTTTGTCATAAGTACTTTTACTTTGTATTTCCATACTGGTCTTACATGAACACAAACTGACAAGAGCTGGGTTACTTTTTACCAACATTTTGTGTAAAATGTTTTGCTTTTTACATGTGTGAATTTCTAGAAATTTGGTTCCCAATTTGTATCATTTCTGAATTTTCCTCTTGAGATTAGCTAATTTATTTCAGACCATTTTCAAACTGTATTTTAAGCTTATAATCTTAAAAACAAGCTGCCAAAAAGTATTCTTTGGATCAGTGCCATAGAAGAACCACCTTTGCTCTTTTGTTTTAAGAACATCCACATAATGTAAACATTAAACTCCTACATGAGATTTTTCCTAAAACCAGATATCCAAGCCAACAACCATTTGGAAATCTTTATGTTTAAGAGTGTGAACACACATGTACTGACTGATAGCTGCATACTATACAGTAAAAATATCACATATTATTACATTTTGTAAAAGGCATGTAAATTAACCCAGGAAAACCAGCCATTCTTGGCAGATCAGTAGTTATACTTGACTTATCTTGGAAAACAATAATACTGAACTAAATGTCATATGACAAACCTGAATGTGCGCCAGTAATCCCACGGCAACATTTTCCTGTATAGTCTGGAAGGATGGATGGGCGAATGAGTGATGGAACGGATGAATAGATGGACAAATATGTTAAAAAAGCCAGATGGTACGATCTCAGCATCATAAGGAAGTGCCGCTGCCCACAAACAATCTCATGTGAACCGGCACACATAGACACAGTGTCATGTGTCATGCAGTAGCTCAAATCCACATGACAGTTGCTCTGGGCCTTAATGACATATTATACACCTACATGCACATTGTGTCTCATGACACAGCAAGTTATTGAACAGGGTATTCTGTAATTTTTTGTGTGATTACTGGCTCTGTCTGCTGATATTTTACACTAAAACTAACTCCGAGAAACTGAAAAGCCGAGATTGTCTTTAAAACCCCTTTATCAACATCACTGACCTATTTAAAGTGAGAAGAGAAGAAACGTGTCATTACTAAAGTGACTTTTTCATGATGAAGCTACAGTACAGCTTGAATTAACCATGAGCATAAAATGAAAGGGAAGTATGACAAATAAACAGCTGGCTTAAAGCTCTAACTTCTCTAATCAAAAATGGAAGTGTGCTACATGGCAGTTTGTACACAGTCCTTTTATGGTAACATGAGCATAGCTAATGATAAAGAGCTCACACATGTACACCCCCTTTTTTTAAGGGGGTACATGTGACAGTGTTGTGTATCATTAGTTGACTTCTTGTTCCATAAAATAATCTTGTTCCACTACCCACCACAGGTCACACAACCCTGAAAATATAACACTGTGCAGCAGGGGGTCTGTGGGAATTATTTTTTTTATCATTATGACAGAAAAGGATTAAATCTTTTTCAGTTATAAGAAAAGAACACTTTAATTATTTTTACTCAATTAAGTTTCAAATATAGTGTATAAGCATTTTAGAAACTCTCATGTGTTGTGTTTGCTAATGTTCAGAATGGCCAGTTGGCTTCAATTAAGTAGCCAAGTTAGTGCTAAGATTTTACGCTGCTGTTTTTAAACATTATAAGCGAGGGGCCAACTGACATGTCATTCAACACAATTCTGCTCAGCTCCTTTATTAGTTGGGAGCAGGGCTGGTTCATTGGGAGGGATATGGGGATGGGGAGACAGGGCTGGTTCCTTGGTAGGGGAATGGGGATGGGGAGACAGGGCTTGTTCATTGATAGGGGTATGGGGATGGGGAGACAGGGCTGGTTCCTTGGTAGGGGTATGGGGGATGGGAAGACAGGGCTGGTTCACTGGTGGGGTATGGGGATGGGGAGACAGGGCTGGTTTATTGGTAGGGGTATGTGGATGGGGAGACAGGGCTGGTTTATTGGAAGGGGTATGGGGATGGGGAGACAGGGCTGGTTTATTGGTAGGGGTATGGGGAGGGGGGTGGCACGGTGGCGCAGTGGGTAGCGCTGTCGGGTGTGAGTGAGTGTGTGAATGTTTGTGTCTGTCTGTCTGTCTGCCCTGCGATGGACTGGCGACCTGTCCATTCCGCCCAATGACAGCTGGGATAGGCTCCAGCACCCCACCGCGACCCAGAAGGATAAGCGGCTTAGATGATGGATGGATGGATGGATGGATGGATGGATGGATGGATGGATGGATGGTATGGGGAGGGGGAGACAGGCCTGGTGCATTGGTAGGGGTATGGTGAGACAGGGCTTGTTCATTGATAAGGGTATGGGGATGGGGAGACAGGGCTGGTTCATTGGTAGGGGTATGGGGATGGGGAGAAAGGGCTGGTTCATTGGTAGGGGAATGGGGATGGGGAGACAGGGCTTGTTCATTGATAGGGGTATGGGGATGGGGAGACAGGGCTGGTTCATTGGTAGGGGTATGGGGATGGGGAGACAGGGCTTGTTCATTGATAGGGGTATGGGGATGGGGATGGGGAGACAGGGCTGGTTCATTGGTAGGGGTATGGGGATGGGGAGACAGGCCTGGTTTATTAGTAGGGGGATGGGGAGACAGGGCTTGTTCATTGATAGGGGTATGGGGATGGGGATGGGGAGACAGGGCTGGTTCATTGGTAGGGGTATGGGGATGGGGAGACAGGCCTGGTTCATTAGTAGGGGCATGGGGAGACAGGGCTTGTTCATTGATAGGGGTATGGGGATGGGGAGACAGGGCTGGTTCCTTGGTAGGGGTATGGGGGATGGGGAGACAGGGCTGGTTCATTGGTATGGGGAGGGGGAGACAGGGCTTGTTCATTGATAGGGGTATGGGGATGGGGAGACAGGGCTGGTTCATTGGTAGGGGTATGAGAATGGGGAGACAGGGCTGGTTCATTGGTAGGGGTATGGGGATGGGGAGACAGGGCTGGTTTATTGTTAGGGGTATGGGGAGACAGGGCTTGTTCATTGGTAGGGGTATGGGGAGACAGGGCTTGTTCATTGATAGGGGTATGGGGATGGGGAGGCAGGGCTGGTTCATTGGTGCGGTATGGGGATGGGGAGACAGGGCTGGTTTATTGGTAGGGGTATGGGGAGGGGGCGGCACGGTGGCGCAGTGGGTAGCGCTGTCGCCTCACAACAAGAATGGCCTGGGTTCGATTCCCGGCCGGGCGACCAGGGTCATTTCTGTGTGGAGTTTGCATGCTCTCCCCGTGTCTGCATGGGTTTTCTCCGGGTACTCCAGTTTCCTCCCACAGTCCAAAAACATGCAGTCAGGCCAACTGGCCACGCTAAATTGCCCCTAGGTGTGAATGTTTGTGTCTGTCTTTCTGTCTGTCTGCCCTGCGATGGACTGGCGACCTGTCCATTCCGCCCAATGACAGCTGGGATAGGCTCCAGCACCCCACCGCGACCCAGAAGGATAAGCGGTTTAGAAGATGGATGGATGGGGGATGGGGGATGGGGAGACAGGGCTGGTTCATTGGTAGGGGTATGGGGGATGGAGAGACAGGGCTGGTTCATTGATAGGGGTATGGGGAGATAGGGCTGGTTCATTGATAGGGGTATGGGGAGATAGGGCTTGTTCATTGGTAGGGGGATAGGGAGACAGAGCTGGTTCATTGATAGGGGTATGGGGTATGGGGAGACCGGGCTGGTTCATGGGTATGGGGTATGGGGAGACAGGGCTGGTTCATTGGTAGGGGTATGGGGTATGGGGTATGGGGAGACAGGGCTGGTTCATTGATAGGGGTATGGGGAGATAGGGCTTGTTCATTGATAGGGGGATGGGGAGACAGGGCTGGTTTATTGGTAGGGGTATGGGGGATGGAGAGACAGGGCTGGTTCATTGATAGGGGTATGGGGAGATAGGGCTTGTTCATTGATAGGGGGATGGGGAGACAGGGCTGGTTCATTGGTAGGGGTATGGGGATGGGGATGGGGATGGGGAGACAGGGCTGGTTCCTTGGTAGGGGTATGGGGGATGGGGAGACAGAGCTGGTTCATTGATAGGGGTATGGGTATGGGGAGACAGGGCTGGTTCATTGGTAGGGGTATGGGGATGGGGAGACAGGGCTGGTTCCTTGGTAGGGGTATGGAATAAAATATTCCATTAATGATACAATAATATAATAATAATTTAGGGCCCTTGTCAGTCATAGCCCCCCTCTTTTAAAGTGAAGTTAATGATTAGATGGGTAGCACTGTTGCCTCACAGCAAGAATGGCCTGGGTTTGATTCCCGGCCAGGCGACCAGGGTCATTTCTGTGTGGAGTTTGCCTGTTCTCCCCATGTCTGCGTGGGTTTCCTCCGGGTACTCCGGTTTCCTCCCACAGTCCAAAGACATGCAGTCAGGCCAATTGGACGTGCTAAAATTGCCCCTAGGTGTGAGTGTGTGTGATTGTGTATGTCTGTCAGTCTGCCCTGCGATGGACTGGCGACCTGTCCAGGGTGTATCCTGCCTTCCGCCCAATGACAGCTGGGATAGGCTCCAGCACCCCACCGCGACCCAGAAGGATAAGCGGTTTAGATGATGTATGTATGTATGTATGTATTTACTCAAAATCTGCTGTCCCTTATTTTACTGTCAGCACCAAAACACAAAAATTTTAGCCTAGGATTATAGGAGGAGGTTTAGCCACACCCCTGCATTTTAGAGCAGGAAGTGAGACTGGTAGTGGTTCATGGCCACATGCTGAGTCTTAGATCCCATTGTTTTGAAGTAAATGTCTTAAGTCTAAAAATGGTAGTGGAACATTAAGAATTGTCACTATTGAAACATTCTCTTTCTGCAATTGAAACGTTTTTGTGTTTTAATGAAAAATGTGAGTTCAAACTGTTCAAAGCTGTGTTTACAAGTCATGTACTGGCTAGCCTTTTTGAGTTATGCTGAAAATTAGCAAACATTGTCACTAGTGAAACATTTGGTAAGGTTTTGGTATTGTTTTGGTACTGACAAAATGTAAAAAAAAAGCTAAAGCCCTAGTCTGACTTTGAAATAATTCTGTAGAATGATCTATATGGTACCAAAAAGGCCACAGAACCTCGATTTGGTACCATATAGAACAATTTCTGACATGAGCGTGTAGTAAATAAATATATGGAGGACATTAGCATGCATTAGATATCTTTGGAATACACCTGCAGTTGCATTTGCAATTATACTTAAAAATATGTCAAAATGATGTCACTGCCACTGCTGGTATCCTAAAGAGCATTTCAATTAAATTATGAAAGAACTTCATATCCATCATATGGATGGATATATCATATCCATACCAAGTTTCAGTTCGAACTTTTAATTTTAAAGATTGTATTGTTTATGAATTTTGAAAATGGCAACAGGTTTGTGTGGAGCTTCAGTCTAGGTTTGTTGGATCCTGCACTTTATCGAGTTCATGATGAACTGCAGGATAATTTTAGTCCTCATAATCATTTAGGCAAGCAAGATTCAGTGGGAGGATTGCATGCACTGCCTACTGATTAAACCTTTTTAAACAATCTGAAACTTATTATGTTTGATTATTTGATTGTTTTGTGTCAGTGTTAATTGTAGATGATGGTAGGTTTTTAAATTATGACCAAGACATAAATAAGCATGTGTGTTTGAATGTGTGTGTGTGTGTGTGTGTGTGGTGAGAGAGAGAGAGAGAGCATGAGAGACAAAACACAGCTAAACAAAAAAAAAATCATAATACTTTTTATTGAATTCACAGTATAAATGGGCTTTTCTGCATATTTGCACACATTGGTTTTTTTTTTAAATACTGGCCAATAAGTGTTATTTTATTTACCAGTGACAGTTGAATACATTAAAAAGACGTGTAAGGCCACTAGTAGCCACAAAGTCTTTATGAATATTAAAACAATGAGATAAGAAGTAATCGTAACACTGGAGAAGGGCCCAGCTCACAGAGCACAGCAAAACATTATTTGTACTCAATCCCACATCGACCCACTTCTATCATTATTCAATTACGATTTCTACAAATATTTCATTGTTATTAGAACAGACCTATCATTTTATGTAAATATCAACTTCTCCTTTATTACATTGTACCTCTAAATATGCATTTGCTGGTCCTCACAGTGACTTTTGACACTAAAAACAAAATTTGTTTACAATGTTCTTGACATAAATTATCATTTCTGATTTACAAGTTATGAACAAAAAAACACCTATTCATTTCCCTAATATAGCTCATCTTTTAGATTTTATCATTTTACAGCAACAAGAGATATGACATAATTTTCATTTTTAATACATATATATATATAGTTATGACCCGCTACTGGCCTTGGACGCACAGGAGCCATGGCCATGCGGAGCAGTGACATGCAGAGTCTCATGGTAGCACTGGACTTGCAGTAAGAGAGACTAAAATGTGTAAATAAGTAGTTGCTGATTAGTTTAATATGTGTACATGTGTTGTTACATGCTGTTGTGCTGGGCTGTGGGGTAGTTTATGTGGGTTTACTGACTTGTCTATTAACTCCGCCATTTTGGCAGCGCTGAGCGATGGTTCACCGCTGCTGCTGTGTTGAATAAAAGAGCATTTGCTTAAAGTGATATGTTTCCTGCATCTTTTTCTTTGCTGATGCCACACTGGTGTCAGAAGTGGGATAAGGTCTGGAGAAAACTGTGGAGGGGACTGAGCCCAGCTGGAAGACAGCGAAAGAGATGATGGCCGGCCGTGAGGACCTGCTGGAGGGGCAGCATGGCAGCCTGGTGGCACTTATCACGGCCCTCCAGCGACGCTTTGAGTAGGCCCCAATGGCGTGGTTGGTCAAGACTGAGCGTCAGAGCACCAGTGTACACAAGCAGCAGCCTCGCTGGTGTCTATGGTGGGGTGTGCAGCAGAGGAGTTGGAGAGCAGCCAAAGGAGCACAGCTGATGTTGCCGCCACCCCCAGTAGCACAAGGAGTGATGCCACAACCTCAGAGGAGCAATGCTGCGCTGGGGAAGAGGATGCACCATTCAGTCTCTCTGCTCCAGCGCCCCGTGGGAGAGGACATAGCCCCAAGGGAGGACTGGTGTGCGTGCCCTGGCGGTACATGTGTTTACTTGGACAATGGACATTGTGAAACCCCTGCTGCAGAGAGACTGCAAGGGGGGGGCAGCATGCCCCAACATGCCCAGGTACTCTGCTGGTACTATGTGAGTTCGGCTCTTCTGAAAAGGGAGGACTGTTTAGCTAATAAGAGCTAAACAGAGCTGGAAATGTCAGAGTCAGCCCTTAATTTATTTAACTAAATATAAACATAATAAATATAATAAAATGGCCATTAAGCACAAGTAATTACTTTAAAACAATTACAGAGATGCATATTAAATATCAGATTTTTCAGTATTACATGTGTCCATCCTTTGCCTTTACATCTTCCATTGTTTTCTGGAGATTTGCTTGTAGTTTTTAAAAGACATTTGCCACACCTCCAGAGTTCAGTCTTAGAAGCTGTTTGCATTTTCTGTTTTTCCAGGTAATTCCAAACACATTTAGTGATGGTGAGGTCTGGACTCTGGGGTGGTCAGTCCATTATCCTGAGAACACCAGCAGCTTCTTCATTTGATTTGCAATTTTTTTGTCTATTTCTTTTTCTCAGTAACAACTTCTTGACAGCTACACATACTCATAGCGTTGAGTCTTCTCAGAGTGGGAACATCTCTGGATTCTTTTTAATGTTATACTGAATATCTAATCACCTTAAAAATGTTTGTTTGGATTGGAAAATGAATAAATTAAGTGCAGTCTCTGATTTTTGCACAGTATTGTATATCTATTGCATATTTACATATATACTCTATCTGAGCACATATTTGAAATTGTGCGTATCTGTGTTTGTGTGCGTATGTTTATTGTTTTTTAGTGGTCTGCGGTTAGTGATTAATGTAGCATGACCTCTAACATTTCACGTTACATTTCACAATGTCCTCTAAGCTTGGCTCCCTTGCAGTCCAATATTACATTACTCAACTTACTCAATGAAAGCCCTAAATTAAGTGCATTCTGCCAAATATAACAGTCTCGCTTGCAGAAGTAAGAGAAGATCTGTAAAGGAAGTAAAACATGGAACTCAATACAAGATGACTGATAATATGCATTTATAATTTATGATCGCTTGAACTTTACCCACAAAGTCTCAAAGTTCCTGCTTCTGGCACTAGAGGGCACTGTTCTATAGGTTTTGGTGATCAAAGCCAAACAGTTCTATGGCATGCGCAGAAAATATTGATCACTTCAGCTTATAAACTTGGAACAAAAGTGCATTAAAAAGAGAAACCTAGCACCAAACAAGCTTCAGTTCCTGTTCTGTTATTTGCTAGATGTACTGCATGAGTGTGAAGAACCATTTTAACGTTAAAATTGGGTGTTTTTTTCTTTGTTTTACCTTTTATTTCTTTCTTTATACACCATTTACACACTTTTTGTTCCAGTAATCTGTAAGACTGTCCAAACACTGCAGCGGCCGCAGAACAGGGATGGATTACTGGGGCCAGTGGCAGTGATTGCCAGACTGCCAGGGGCCTCGGGGGACCACAAAGACTCAAAAAAAGATAAGGGACAGTCCAAACAAATAGTCCTTTTTAGTGTTGGGTGTTATCCCCTTTTTTAATTACTTTTAGACTGTCTCCAAAAATTACAGCAGTATGCGTGGTACCACCACAGCGCCTGGGGGTGCGGGAGGTGGTAGTGGATTCATTTCTAATACCGTTCATCTAGTGTTATTTCTAGTGTAAAATCGAAAAAAAAGTAGCTTACTTTGCATGGTTACCAAATAAGTGAACAAAGTGCATGATTTTCAAGCCTTCATTCCATAAATGTCAAACCATCTATCAAACAATTGATGAATGTTACATAGCTAACTAGATGAAAGCAACTGGTCAGCGTTAGCACCGCTATCATGCTAACAGCTCTGCCCATCACAGAACATGTTTAGCTGACTAAAAACAATAATTCAAATCTGAGAGACTGAGAAAGTTTAACAACCGTTGAAGGGACTGCAAGGCGAAGTTAAGGTTAATCTTAACATTAGCTTAGCGAGCAGGCTACAGACCCAAACAGTGCCACCCATCACAGTACAGGACTGATTCTGAAAAAAACTGATGCTCTGTCGACACAAATTTAGATGATGAAAATAGAGTAATAGTAAGCAGAAACTGAACCTGTTCAGTGGTGTTTGTGACAAAGCTTAATTAGCGGGTCAAATGTGCCACACCTCAGCTAAGGCTTGGTTGTAGCTAACCAGTGGTCTGAAAATGTCCTGAAATACATAATGTCTGCCAGTTGCAACGACACATAATCCCCACAAATCCCCCAGTGCAGCTCAACACCCTCAAAAATCTCTGAATCTATTTTAGGTACTTTAAATGAGGTAAATTAAATTGAAAATTATATTAAATTAAATTGAACATTGATTTTTTAAAAGCATAGAATTATTTTTTTGTATATAATATTGAAATAGAATAATTACATAGATGAGGGAGGGCTGATTTTCTGGACAGTAATTTTACTAATATTTAGTACTTTTTGATAAATACAAACACAATTCCAAAAACTTTGAGACAGTGGGTAAAATGTAAACAGAAGAATGAGTTTTGTAGTGAGCCTATATTTACAAAAAAATACAAAAAAATGAATAAAGGCCAAAATTAATGTACAAATCACTGCTTTCTGTTTTTATATGCATTTACCATACTGTCCCAACCTTTGTTGAAAGTGGAATTGGGTTTGTATGATTGTAAAAGTCATCAGGTTTATAGTCCTATGTAATGTTTGTAAAAAACCAAACAAACAAACAAACAAACAAAAAAACAATACGAATATAGATATGATTTGAGCATATTATTCTTTTTGGCATAACGCATGGCAATCCATTTTGATAGCCTTGGGTTTTTTCCGCTCTATTATGTATATATTTGCATGTTTGATGTGTGTGTACTGTCTACATAGTAACATTAAATGGTGGAACTGTAGACTCAGGCACTGTAGAGTTAAGGGGTCTGGCCCAGTCCGGGTAGGTGTGTAAAGTGAACATGTGCAGCCCCCACGTGTTCATAGCCAGAGACACACACACAATGCCCAGAATGTTCATCATAAACCCAGTCTTCACCTGTAAAAACAGCAACATGAGAAGATGTTTATCAAAGCTCAAATAGCTTCCCAAGGACTAGCTTTGAGTTCACAAAAAAAATCTCTATTGACCATGTAATTTAAACAAAGTTTGGCAATTAACTTCACTTTTCACTTTGTTGATTATAATCTTATGTGAAGGTTCTTCTACAATGCCTGGAATGTTTTATGAAAAAACATTGGTTGTTTATTAAATAATGTATTTCCAATGTATAGTCCTTGCATTAAGATAAAGCAGTATATTTGTTGATGTTATCTTTTAAAATCATGTCATTCCAACATCCTCGATTTTTTTTTTATGGCTATTCATTGATTCTGTCTAAAAGTTGTTATCAGCTGTTCTGAGAGTATGTCTTGTTTAATTGTTAAGGCAGGTAGTTCTGTAGGAGGATCTAGTTTTACTGTGAAAACCATTTGAGATTTGTTCAGGTTTGTACACTGTAGTTTAACCATTTTAGAAAATTGTTACTATCTGATTTTCCTGATTGATTTGGATTTATCTACCTGATCAGCCTGAATGATTCTTTTTATGTGCTGCTCACCATGTCTTTGACCATGAGGTGTCCAGAAGCAAAGGCAATAGAATTAGGCGGAGTTGAGACAGGAAGCATGAATGCATATGAGCAGCCAATTGTTGCTGGAATCATGAAGTACAGGGGGTTCACCTTCACGCGGATGGCCTGTTAACAAACGACAAAACCAGCAATATGAATATTACTTTCCCTACCTCACCCACTTCTGATTTTGAACTTTAGAAAATTAGTTCTTCAAGAGTTCTTTAGTAAATGCAATGGCTATATAGAACCATGAAAACTCAAAGAACCATTTGAACACTTGAATGCTTCTTCATGTAATAAAATGTTCTTCTTTATGATGGAGAACCTGTTGTATATGTTGTTGTCTGTGTACATCTGTACTAGGGCTGCCATTATCAGTTATACTACCAATTACCAATTACATTGGAAATGTGAAATCACACGCAATGTGCGGAAGAACATAATGTCAGTTGTGTTTGTCAGTTGAGAATCTGATTCCGAGCATGTATATTCAAGCAAGATGGCGCCCTGAGAGGCAGCCAATAGTGCTTTAACATCTCACGTTTTTGTTTGTTTTACCTGTTGAACTTGGACATGGCTTCACAGTTCGACTTACTTTCAACCAGAATTCCTATACACCACAAAATCATTTGTGGACTTCGCTTTTATACATGCAGAGATTTTTCAAAGTAGCTCATCGGGGGATCATCAGCCATCCTCCCACAAAGAGACATGGTGGTGCAGAGCTTGTGGTAGACATGGTGGTGAGCTCATGTGGCTTTCGACTAGCCCTCTTGAGTATACTTCTCTCCAATATGCGCTCATTTAGCACCAAAATATATGATACTGCTGGTAAGAACAACAAAGGCCTTTTCTACAACTTTGCTTCCTGCTTCAATGAGAAATGGTTAAATGAAAGCACTGCTGTACTGGACTGCCACCCCACTCCGATCCAAAGGTGGAGTTATATGTCATTACATATTTAACTCTAACTTGTCGAATGTATGTCCCACCACTGGGCCAAGCCAACTACAGCCGGCTGAAGTTATTACTGAGGTTGACAGGGACACTCAGGCTCTCTTATCATTGTTATGAAAGAGCTCAATCACACCAACTTGAGTGTTGAACTACCAAAATATAAACTATTGATCAGCTGCCCCACCAGAGAAGACAAAACATTTGACCTACAAACAGCTACAGCACCATCAAGAACGCATACCATGCAACCTGTCGTGCCCCATTTGGAAACCCTTATTATTCTCTCATCTATCTCATCCCTTCATAGAGGTAAAAGCTTAAAACAATAAAGCCTGAGGTGAAGGCAGTGAGAATGTGATCTCCTGATGCCATAGACCTCATGTGTCAAACATGAGGCCCGCAGGCCTGACATAAAAAGGCCCACAAAAGTGTTTTAATGTTCTATTAATGTTAGCCCATTTCACGATAGTGTGTACTACAGTCCCTAGCATCCCATCAAAGACTATCTATGACCCAAACACCCTTGGGTCAAACATGCTTTCATCAAATATTTTCTACAAGGCTCTATCAGCCTCCACAGCATGACTCAATTGTGTCTCATCAACTGCAGTAACCTTCACTGCTGAGACTTCTTCCTTGCTAACCAAGTCAGCTGAAAATTGCGCAGACCCCCACCGCAAGTTGTATTACATGCACTCTGTCCCAGACTTTATTCCAATTTTGACCAGTAGCAGAAGAAAAACATCATCATCACGGGTAGTAAATCATTCTAATTTAACCTTAGTAAAACACTTGACCCATAGAAAAGTTAGACACGAATGTTAAAATGGCACTTTCAAATGTAAGATCACTCACAAACAAGAGTTTTGTAATTATTGATTTCATTTTTGAAAAGAAATTACATTTACATTTCTAGTGGAAACCTGGCTGAAGAACGATGGCTCTCACCGCAACTCTCATTGAGACTTGTCCACCCAGCTATAAGTTCTTTCAGTCAGTAAGACAGGACACAAGAGAGGGTGGTGTAGCTGCTATCTTGTCCAATCAGTTCAGTTGTACTCAAACTGATTTAGGGGAATTTTCATCTTTTGAATATCTAGCCATTGTGCTTAAGCCTGAGTCAGACATGATTATTTTAACAGACCACTTTACAGACCACTTAAGCAGTCCTCACTGTTTCTTTCTGAATTCTCTAAAGTTATGTTCATTATTCTCACTAGTTATGACCGGGTAATCCTAATTGGAGACATGAACATTCATATTAACAATAGCTGCGTGCTGCATTTGACACAACTGACCACAGCGTTCTAATCGACTAGAAAACTGGACTGGTCTTTCTGAGTGTGCCTTTGGTTTCAAACCTACCTAACAGAGAGACAATTTTATGTTAGCCCTGACACATCTTGTGTGCTGCATAAGAAAGCTGTCTTGGTCCCCTTCTTTTCTCATTATATATGCTACCACTGGCTAATATCATCATAGACCACAATATTAATCTTCATAGTTACACTGATGACACTCAGGTATAAAGTAACTCATCAGGAGATCACCAGCCATCCTTATACAAAGAGACATGGTGGTGCAGAGCTTGTGGTAGACATGGCGGTGAGCTCATGTGGCTTTCGACTGGCGCTCTCCAGTATACTTCTCTCCAATATGTGCTTATTTAGCAACAAAATCGATGAAATGAAACCACTGGTAAGAACAAAAAAGGCCTTTTCTACAACATTTGCTTCCTGCTTCAGTAAGAAATGGTACAATGAAACTACTGCTGACACTGCAATAGAGCTACCTGGCTGTTCACTGTACTGGACTGCCACCCCACTCTGTCAGAAATCCAAAAGTGGAGGAATATGTCATTACATATTTAACTCTAACTCGTTGAATTTATGTCCCACCACTGGGCCAAGCCAACTACTGCCGGCTGATCACATTACTGAGGTTGACAGGGACACTCAGACTCTCTTATCATTGTTATGAAAGAGTTCAATCACACCAACTTGAGTGTTGAACTACCAAAATATAAACTATTGATCAGCTGCCCCACCAGAGAAGACAAAACATTTGACCTACAAACAGCTACAGCACCATCAAGAACGCATACCATGCAACCTGTTGTGCCCCATTTGGAAACCCTGATCATTTTCTCATCTATCTCATCCCTTCATAGAGGTAAACGCTTAAAACAATAAAGCCTGAGGTGAAGGCAGTGAGAATGTGATCTCCTGATGCCATAGACCTCATGTGTCAAACATGAGGCCCGCAGGCCTGACATAAAAAAGGCCCACAAAAGTGTTTTAATTTTCTATTAATGTTAGCCCATTTCACAATAGTGTGTACTACAGTCCCTAGCATCCCATCAAAGACTATCTATGACCCAAACACCCTTGGGTCAAACATGCTTTCATCAAATATTTTCTACAAGGCTCTATCAGCCTCCACAGCATGACTCAATTGCGTCTCATCAACTGCAGTAACCTTCACTGCTGAGACTTCTTCCTTGCTAACCAAGTCAGCTGAAAATTACACAGACCCCCACCGCAAGTTGTATTACATGCAATCTGTCCCAGACTTTATTCCAATTTTGATCAGTAGCAGAAGAAAAACATCATCATCACGGGTAGTAAATCATTCTAATTTAAACTTAGTAAAACACTTGACCCATAGAAAACTTAGACACGAATGTTAAAATACACAGTTGACCACAGCGTTCTAATCAATCGGCTAGAAAACTGGACTGGTCTTTCTGAGTGTGCCCTTGGTTTCAAACCTACATAACAGAGAGACAGTTTTACTTTAGCCTTGACATATCTTGTGTGTTTCACAAGGAAGCTGTCTCAGTCCCCTTCTTTTCTCAACATATATGCTATCATTGGGTAATATCATCAGAGACCACAATATTAATCTTCATAGCTACGCTGATGACACTCAGTTATACATATCCGTCAAGCTGAATGACATACAGGCCCTAGGCTCCCTGACTACCTGTCTGTCTGCAATTAATCAACGGATGAGTAAAAACGTTCTAAAATTAAATGAAGATAAGACAGAAATACTCTTAATTGGCCCAAAAGCCAAAAGAGACACACTCTCCACTAGGCTAGGAGATCTGAAACATTACAGTAAAGGGCAAGTAAAGAGTTTAGGTGTCATTTCAGACTCTGATTTAAATCTTTTATCTCATATTACCTCGGTGACCAAAACAGCCTTCTTCCACCTAAGAAATATTGCCAAAGTACGTCTGTTTTTAAATCAACAGGATGCTGAGAAGCTCACGAATGCTTTTATTTCAAGTAGACTGGACTACTGTAATGCTCCGTTTACTGGTATTCCAAAAAAGTCAATTGAGAAACTACTGCTAATTCAGAACTCCGCTGCCAGACTTTTAACAAAAACTAGGAAGAGAGTGCACATTACTCATGTTCTAGGTACACTGCACTGGATCCCTGTATCTTTTAGAATTAAAGTCCTTCTGCTTGTATGCAAAGCTCTTAACGGTTTAGCATCTTCTTATATCACTGAGTCTCGGTCGTTTTTGTCCCTGCTCGAGCTCTAGGGGCCTCCGTACCAAGTCTGTTAGACATTCTGATAGTTCCCCAAAATAAATTTGGGAAAGCAACCGTTGTCTACTATGCACCCAAACTGTGTACAAAAAAAAAGTTTTTAAATGTCAACTTAAACATTCCTTTGTAATCAAGCTTTCAGTTGACAAAATGCTTTTTTATTCTTAATTCTTTTTTATTCTTATTTATTTATTTTATCTATTCTTTTTGTTTAAACCATTGTTGTATATTTATTTTAATTATTTGTATTTTAAAAATGGATTCCTTGTTTAAATGGCTTTGTTCTTTTATTTACATGACCCTCACTGTTTTGTGCATTCTGTGCCCCTTTTCTATTATTACTATTATTTGTTGGATTTTTTAGTAATTGTTGTTTTATTCTTGATTACCTTTTTATTTACCTTTCTCTGTTGTTATTTATCATTCTGTGTCTTTAATCATCTTTCTCTGTTGCTTTTACTGTAAAGCACTTTGAGCTGCATTTAATGTATAAGGAGCTTTATAAATAAAAACTATTATTATTATTATTATTATTTATTATTTTTTTTTAATATTATTACATGAGCTTCTGTGAGGAGACTCGCATCCCATCAAAGACTATCTACAGGTACAACAATAACAAACACGGGCTCTCCAATGATCTCAGGAAACTGCGCACAGCAGTTTTCTCTACATTTCTTTTATTGGATTTCCTTTTATGTTGACACCTGCACCAAAGAAATTCCTTGTACATCCGTCGAGTAAAGATTCAGATTCTTGCTGTTGTAAGAGAATTCAAAGAGAACTCAGTCAAAACTTGTTGAATGACATATCTTCTGAGGACGATCTACTATTGTCATCATATGCATCAGTATGTTTATTTTGTGTCTGAGACCTAAACATTGAGCTGGACCTCCCTTTTGAGCTTGTGCATTTGACTTTAATATGTAAAGAAGTACAACATGGTCTGAAAAACTTCCCCCAAATCAGACGTATTGACTCTGACTTTTTAATTGCTATTTTAGGCTTTACAGGATGACTTGCAGCAGTGCATGCACATCATATTTTATCATGTTTTTACTCCTGACTCAGCAATGCTACTTCTTTGTACTAAAATAATGTACACACTGCAGCTTTAACTATGTGGAAACATGTGTGTCCATCAGGCTCTGTTTCTTACTGTAAGAGAATACGCATTATCATCAACTATCTAATCTAGACCACCTTAGCAACACAGTCACACAACAATGTAGCAACACAGCGGCATAGTCACTGGAGTTCAGTAAGAGTAAATTGTCATATTGATGGAGTAAATTAATTGAGTAATCTTTACAGCCATAATCTCTAAGCTCACTCACCAGTTCAGCGATGACCGGGAGGAAGATGATGATGGTGGCGGTGTTACTGGCAAACTCAGTAAAGCAAGCGATGAAGGCCGTGATCAGAATCACAGCTACAGCAGGAGGAACTTGAGCTAGCGGCTGTAAATGCCCTCCGATCCAGGCAGCCAGGCCTGACTCCTGACACAGAACAAACAAACCAAACTGAGCTGAGTGGAATGAAGCCTACCATCGGTTTGATTTTGTGCTAGAAGTGTGTTTCTCTGAAACAAATATATTTTTATTAAATATTTTATGAAGCATTCAAAAGAACTGCATTTAAGGATGTCACTGGTTAAAGTGTCCGAATACTTTTGGGAGGCACTGTATATCTGCTTATATGAAAGGAAATTATTTAACCACATAGATTTTTTTAACTTCTTTGATGCATTTTTTTTACTGAAACTAGTAAAATTATCTGCAGTAAGATTCAGTAAGAGATGTTCTAAAAAAAGAAAACAGAAAACTATATTGCATAAATTCTTGCATTATATTGCATGACTGCAATATAATGCAAACGCATGGTACAGGAGGTATTTTACAACTGGCTTGCTCTGACTGAGATCTGATCGCAATGCGAGCCACACCTTCCTTAGGGTGAGACATAGCGGCTGATTCAGTCACATTCCATTCACAGCGTATGCTGTGTGCATTTACACCTCACATTAACATACATTTTCCATTTTCAAATAATACATACAGATCGCATTTTAAAGAAGACTGTAAACAGGGCAGAGAACAAGTAAAGCAAGCAGGTGCACCTCGCAGCCTTTAGCCATGGCGAAGCCTCCACCCAGCAGAAGGATAATGTTCCACGGAACACACTCTTGAACTCTTTTCCATGACAGCAGGGGCACATACGGAGTGTTAGAGGCTGTGGAGAAGAGTGGAGGGGGAAAGATTCAAAATTAGGCTACAAAATCAGCTGCTCAATTATATTAGCTTGTTTTACATCAATTTAGAAAAGAGAAAAGGTTTTCTGGGTGCTCTGGGAGGTCAAATAAAAATTTAGAGATTTCTATTTTAAGAGTCCAATAACCCACAGCATTTAACAAAAAACCCACAAACAGCAACAACAACAAAAAAAAAATCACAAAGCTTCAGGATAAAAATTAGTATTGCAATTTGCAGTATCTCAATATTTAGCAAATAAACATTTTAATCCCAAAACCATAAGTGAATGAACTAACCGTGGTCGCGTGGTCAGCTTTTAAAAGGTTATGCAAAGGTTGTGTTACCCAAATATCTAAAGCTAACTCAAAAATAGTTTTAAAGAAAAAAATAATGGAGAAAAGTAGGAAGTCTGGAGAGCACTTTATGCACTCTAATGTGAGAGTGGGACACATTTTTCTGAGATTACTGTAATCTGTAAGAACAGTGGCACTACAGTGTGAGCTTTCAGCAGGACGTGCTAAGCTAAATCATTAACATTCCACATCTTATTTACTGTGCCCCACAACACTGCCCTCCAATAGCACGTTTAAAGAACGTCCACAACATAACCTACTTTAGCCTCTTGGTTAGGCTTTGATTTCATTGTGGAAAATTACCGAGTTATCGCTGCAGTTGGGCCAAACCAGAGCTGGTGAAAGTAGCGGCCTTGTTAATGTTTGGTGTTCATTCATGAACTATAAAGGGATCAAGTATAGGTCTAGACAGAGGCATGCTCTGTACAAACTACTGGCATATACCAATAAGGGTGAGTGGGACACAAGCTAATGCATTTTGTTTGTTTTTTTTGCTAAATAATCTAAATAAATTAAATAAATAAAAATGTAAAACTTTCTACAAGATTTTGGAGTGTGTCTGTGGGGTTTTTTGTCCATTCATCCAGAAGACATTTGTGAGGTTAGACACTGATGTTGGACAAGAGGGCCTGGCTCACAATCTCCATTCTAGTTCACCCTAGGCATTTGATGGGGTTGACGTCAGGGCTCTGTGTGGCCAGTCAAGTTTTTCCACACCAAATCCACCCAACCATGTCTTTATGGACCTTGTTTTGTGCAGAAAAGCGCCTTCCCCAAACTGTTCCCTCAAAGTTGGAAACAAACAATTGTCCAAAATGTCTTGTTATGCTGAAGCATTAAGATTTCCCTTCACTGGAACTAAGGGGCCTAGGCCATCCCCTGAAAAACAACCCCATAGCATTATCCCTCCTCCACCAAATGTTACAGTTGGCACAATGCAGTCAGGCAGGAAACGTTCTCATGGCGTCCTCTATGAAACCTGTAGCCCATTTCTGATGAATATGTGTCTAAAAATGAAACTGTATTAAAACTAACCCCACTATGTGGAGGCTGTAATTTAGCCTGACTAGCTCTCATTGTGTTCACATGCTTCAAAACAGTGATTCAAATAATAGAGTTTTGAATTCTGTGAAAACTCAGTAATCGAAAAACACTTGAGATTGAAAAAAGTTGCTTTTATAGTACAAAAACTTCAGGGTTCAATTTTGAGAAATATTTGTCAGGTGGCTGTCAAAATTGGCAGTTGGCATTGTAATGAGAATATGAGAACATGGCTAAATGCACAGTCTCTTATAAAGGTTGTTCTTTGCTGTGCTTGCTGTAATTGTTCTACGGTCAGAAGATTATCTGGTCTCAGATCAGCAGATATGCAAATGTGTAAGCTTAGTGTGAACCTGTTCTCTGACCTCGGGGATTGAACCACCAGCGCAGTGAGGGACGCTGGGACGGAAAGAAGAAGAGGATGGAGATGATGATGACTCCGGTGACGGCATCCGACACGTACCTACCATGATAAGAAAGAAAAATAATATGTTATTTTACTCTTATTTTCTTCATTTTAAAATCTGTCTATCAGCACATTGTTCAGTAAGTGCGTACTGTCCTGTTTCAGGTCCAGCTTGATTATCCAATAACCTCAGATTCTTTTGGAGTGATTTGTTTCTGTACAAAGTCCCCAAGTCCATTTGGGTTGATGCTATCCGTCATTACTGTTGGAGGTAACAGATTTAGCAACCTATATTAGAAGCAATATTACTTATAATGGACCAAGATTAGTTGGAAATTGGTAACAAACAGTCTCTGCCTTTGTCCAGAACTTCTTTTTTTCCAAGTAAGCTCATTATTGTGCATGCTGTGTTGCAGTGTTATTGCAGCTGAGGGGTCTGCCAGGCCAGAGCAGAGAGTTCAAGTTTTTTCTCTGTCTGTCTTTCTCTCCCTGTTTCTCTTGCTCCCATACCACTTGTTTTGTTCTCTTCTGTCAATTAAAAATGTGTCTGCTTCGTTCAATCATGTTGTGTTCAATTAAAAAAAATATTTGCTTCAACAGAACTGTTTTCATACTTACTCCATGTGGTTGGGGAGGGGTTCTAAGTGTTTTTGTGGCAAGTAAGAGAATACTGATAATTTGCTGAACCTAACAGATTGGGCAGCAATGGACATCAATTTGCCAAAAAACTAAGCATGTACTTTATTGAATGTTATTATAATCAATTACAGTTCATTACAACATTCTAAAAATGATGCACTGCAACATTCAGATCAATGCATCATAATGCATCAATGCATTTTAAATCCATTCATTAAAATATCACATCAGTCTTCTTTATATAGTGACATGACATCAAGTACTAGTATCTCATCCTTGCTCATCCTACAGCTACCATCACTGTTTTTTGGCTCTACTAAGGCTGTGAAACTTTCTCTCTATCCTTCTCTCTCTCTCTCTCTCTCTCTCTCTGATGTGAGTGTTGTTTCAGGGTAAATCAGGCAGAGGAAGCACGGACGGACACCCTGCAGTCAGAGAAAGGTCAGTTTATCAGAGACTCTGAGACAAAGGAGCCTCGCCTGGATCCCTGCACCTCCCTGTCTCTGTGCATTAGAGTGATGAGGAGAAGAAGGGATGGGGAGACATCGGCTGATGGCTCTCTGACACACACTCTGATCCATTCTTGGATCCTCACTCTCTGACATACAAGTTTCTGTGTGACCATTTGTGTGATGTCACGTCAAGTTTAGGCCTCTATAAACTATTTAACTTATTTTTAAAGTTTGATTATAGCAAATTCCCAAAATAAAAAGTGACTATATGCCGTTTTGTGATAACTACACTGAGCTGACAGTTTTTCAGAAACACTTACACGCATTGACCATTTTATCAGAAACACCTACCATTTAAAGTCCACTTTGTAGAATAGAAATTACTAACTGTAGCCCATCTATTTCCGCACAATTTATCAGCTCTCTTTTATCTCACCCATCAATAGAATTTGACCAGGGAACCAGTTAATATTTGGGTGTTGGACTGCAGTTAGTAGCATGGTATTATTTGTAGCGCTGGTATACGTGTATTAGGCATAGCGATGTGGCTGGGATTTTAACACATTGTACGCTTACTGAACACTTCATTAGGCACACCTTGTTGGTCAAAGACTAGTCAGTGGTGGTCCTATGATGGTCCTTTTCCGTGGACGGATGGGGTAGAGGGTGGCTGATAAATTGTGCAGCAGCAAATGGGCTACAGTCAGTGATAGTAAACTTTTAAAGTGCACTGTATACGGTAGGTGTTTTTATGAAATGGCCGGTAAGTGTAGGTACAAGTTGGGGTACCTTACTGGCAGTTCTTATCGTCATGCTAAAATTTAATGAGCACAGCTGGCTCTACTACTTTTTTCTGGCTGATGCTAATCTAATATGACTACACCTTCTGCTTTGGCCACAAACTAGCTAAACTGAATTGAGGAGGCACTCATATACAGATCCACTCACAGCCCGTTTCAAGCATGAGAGAGAGAAAAGCAAAAGAGAAATAAAATATCCTCTGTGGATGGAGCCCCAGCTGCTAAAAGACAAACAGTTTGAGAACCCAGTGAGAAGGAAATAGATGCAAAAGTACTTTGCAAAATGATCTATACATGAAAATAAAATTGAATATCTAAAAGGGTGAATATCTATGCTGCATTTCACAGGATTATTAACAAGAATTAAAAGTTTGTCCCATATTTCAAAGAACATGAGTAGAAGTTTTAAGGTAAAAAATATTTTCACTGTCAAACTACTGTAAAATTAAAATGTCAAACCCGTTTGTTTTGTTTTTAAAGTTAAATGCATTTAAAACATACATATAGAGTATTTTAACTTACAGATATAGAATATAAATTCAAATTAACAAAATATGTAGAACATTATATATATATATATATATATAAAACAAATTAACGCTTTCATTTGACAGACATCTGCGTTCATTTTAATAGCTGTTACTGTTGTTATTGTTATGCTGTGTGTCCACTAGTTGAACTAGTGAAGTAAATTTTACAGATTTTTACCATCATTGAGAAAATATGCTTTTACTGCAAATTAACAGATTTGTCTGGCACCCGTCCTGTCTCATTTTTTTTACCATTTTACAGTGTAGATAACAGCAGTGATCATTGTGGCTCAGTTCCTTCTAAAAATGCGGTCACTGAGGAAACATCATTAGAGTAGTAATAAATAAATACACAAATAAGTAAATAAAGTAGCTAATACTAGCCCAAAGTGAAAGTCTGTGTAAATTATTTAGGCAGATTATTTACAGTATTATAAGTAATATTATAAGTAAAGTATTAGTAGTACAGTAATTTCATAAGTATTATTACTTATTATTATTGTTAAGAGACAGAAAGAGAAACTTGCATTTAATAACAAAATCCCTGAATGATTGTTCTCCCTTTCCTTTGCTCTTTTCCTGGCCTTCAGTGCTATTTTGCCATTGTCAAAGCAATTGCGCCTCCTTCTTCTTGCCATTAAAAAAGATTAGTAAATCTCTTCAGGTTGCCAATTTGTGTGCAGTAAAATCCATGATTTGCTGTGCTTCGACAGACTCACGTCCTTAAAATGCAATTTATGAAGTCAGACATGCTGAAACCTGCAACTCAACAGTGACCTCATACATATGTGTATGCATAATACAAATAGTTTTGGAATAGCTGTAAATGTCATGGTCATGTAAATTTCAAGTTCTTAAGCTTGTTTCACTTGACATACACTCTCCAACCATTTTTTGTGGTACTGCTTTACTTCTAGTTTGATAAAACTTATGAACCTGTGTGAAGGACAACTTTCTTCGTTTTTTAAAGTTATGACACGTAATTTTATGGAATTGAGTTTTTTTTATTTTCTTAAACTATTTTCTTTTTTTAGATGCCAGTGATATAGATTTGAAAAAGATTGCGATGTCATTCCTGAAACGAATTAGATGTTTGTTTTTACAGCACTTTGTAATTCAAAATACTATACAAGTGTATTGGGGTGTTCATGTCGTCTACATGCTTTAAAAATTGTGCAGCAGCGTAACATGATGACTTGATCTGTGTGTAGTTCATGATAGCTGCCTGTAAGCTAACGTAAAAAAAAATCTGACAACAATAATTTAAAACAACAACATCTCTGACAGGTTGAATTTGCTGTAAGGACTATGGGTAGTGGTTTTCTTTACAAGGAAAGGCAGAACTTGAAACCAGATTCAATGAGATTGTATACCAACATTTCACAATCTAGTAGCTTGTGGTAAATTTACTTGGACAGTTAAGGTTTCATATTTAAATTACTTATGGAGTTTATGAATGGGATTTTGGCTGCTGGAACCAGACTGTTCAGCTCTATTACTATTAACTGCCATGTCCTCCCAGTTCTATACCACTTCATCTGACCTTTTTGCGCACATGCGATGGAACATAAATGGTTGCGGTTTTCTCAGGAAAACAGGACCCTAGTGATAAAGGTTACATCTCAACATATCTCAATTTTACTCAAAGCAAGGATATTGGAATAAGAAATTGCTCAAAGGGAAGAGAATGTGTACATATTAAATGGCAACTGTTTATTTTTCTTCATGCATCTCTAAAAGATTGCCTCAAGCATCAAAAGTAGGGAAGTCGTCGGTCTAGAAGCCTGGTTTAAATAAGAAGAAAACATTTTTTTTAACGTAATAGTGTTTTGTGACATTTAAAGATTTATTAACTACTGCAGGTGTGAAAGTTCACAGTGTAACATTTGGCACTTTAAAAACAAGTGTGGGAATGGACAAATGTGATGAACAGGCTTGAAAAATAAATCTCCATTTTCAGCTTTAAAGTCTTACCCTTTGTTGAAGAATATGGACCACCCTGTGACAAATTTAGGGTCTCTGGTGAACAGGAGGATGGCAAACAGAATGAAGAAGAATGAGATGGATCCCTCTGCAAAACTATAGAGGAGAGCAGGAGAAAATAATGGGGGTTGGAAAATGGAGACTATGTAAACTATGTCAACATAATCATACAAATCTAGTAAACATGTTTTAATGTATATTCAAACTTAAGTGACAGACAATGTGGAAATGAAATGACTTTTTTTTTTCAAAATATTGAATACTAAGACTGTTGAGGAAATGGATACACATAAACAATCTCAGACCAAGGCTTAACTTCCAAAGCCGACATACACTCATTGGCCATTTTATTAGATACACCCATCTTGTTTCTACACTCATGGTCTATTTTATCAGGCCCACTTACATCTTGCATATTGTAATTATTGTTATTGTTGCCTCCCTCTGTACCCCATTCACCAGTCGCCAGGACTCCCACAGGACCACAACAGAGCAGGTACTATTTGGATAGTGGATCATTCTCAGCACTGCAGTGACACTGATGTGGTGGTGGCACACAGTCTGGTGTTGCTGGTGTTTTTCAACAACACAGTCTCACTGCTGGGCTGAGAACCAAAAACATCCAGCCAGCAGCATCCTGTGGCCAGAAACTGAACACTGATGAAGAACTAATGGATGACCAATACAAACCATCAGCAACACATGAGCTACCATCTCTAAGGTGGACCAACAATGTATATGTGTCTAATAGAGGGTCGTAAGTGTACTAAGTGTTTAAAAACTCCAGTAACACTGCCGTGTCTGATCCACTAGTACCAGCAACACACCACCGCCATGTCAGTGTAACTGCAAATGATCCACCACCCAAATAACACTCTGTGGTCATCCTGTGAGGGTCTTGATCATTGATGAATGGGGTAAAGGGGCTAACAAATTATGCAGAGAAAGACATGAACTACAATCCATAATTGAAAAATTACAAATGCATTCCTAAGGTAAAATAGTATTAAAGAAGTACTTTATTTAGCAACACATTTCTACAATTCGAGGACTATGTCTGTGTTTTGTGCTTCTCTATCTATACTGAGGCTGCACAATATTTCAGCTGTTAATTGTTATCGCAACATTATATTATATTTTAACACTTTACAGAAAGGGAGTGCCCATAAGGCTACACGACACCTACACTTGCCAAACATTTTATTAGGAACACTTTACTGATACTGGGTAAAACCTCCCTTTGCTCTCAATTCTCAGTTCTTCATGGTATGGATTCCACAAGATGTTGGTAGCATTACTTTGAGATTCTGGTCCATGTTGTGCCAAGAAAACATTCCCCACCCCATTACACCACCTCCACCAGCCTGGACTGTTGACACAAGGCAGGTTAGGTCAATGGATTCATACACCAAATTCTGACCCTACTATCTGTGGGCCTTAGGAGAAACTGAGATTCATCAGACCAAGCTATGTTTTTCCAGTCTTCAACTGTCCAGTTTCTGTCTCAGCTTTTTGTTCTTGGCTGACAGAAGTGGAACCCAACATGGTTGTCTGCTGTTGTAGCCCATCCACCTCAAGTTTCAATGTGTTGTACATTCTGAGATGCTTTTCTGCTCACCACAACTGTACAGAGTGGTAATCTGAGTTACCGTAGTCTCTCTTACCTCTACATTTACTGAATTTGGCATATGCTTTTATCTAGAGCAACTTATAATTTGATCATTTTTACAGAGGTAGCCGAAGGTAGTGTTAGGGGTCTTACCAAGGGACTCCTATAGGCATAGCATAGGGTGCTTTCCCAGAGAGGGGATCAAATTCCAGTCTACAGCGCTACACTATATTAACCACTTTCTGCCATCTTGAACTACATTGGCCATTTTCCATTGTCTGTTAATCTCATCAAAAAGACGTTTTCAGCTGCAGAATGTGCATGAAAATCCCAGGAGATCAACAGTTATAGAATTACTCAAACCAGCCCATCTGGCACTAACAATCATGCCACATTCAAAATCACTGAAATCATCAAAATGAACAAAAGCAACATGTATGACAACTGAGGCTTGATGGAATAAGCCTTTATGAATGTTTATGTAGGTTTATGTCAGTTGTCATGAAAGGCTTATGCATGTTTAAAGGCCTTACAAATGCTGCCCTTCAGTAAACTGTCATCGTTAATGGTTACAAATGTGTTTTTTAGCATACAGTATATTGCAGTCACAATCTGGTATCAGGTCCATGTTGTGCAATTCTACTTGATATTTTTAACACAATATTTCCAAGAGATAACTCAGCATGGAGTCTTACTTGATGGGTCCGAGCTTTTTGTAGTCTTCATCAATGACTGCTCTAGCTTTGGCCTCTGCAGCTGCTCGGTCATCCTGTTTGTTTATACACAACCTAAGCACCGAAACACACAGTGTCAAAGAATGGAATCAATTAGTGCACATAGTACACACAGCACACAGGTTATTTGAGTCTGCATGTGGATGCAAATGTGTGTGCGTATGTATACCGAGTGTTGAGTCCCCCGTAGAGGAAGGAAATCCAGATCCATGCAACGAAAAGGAAGACGATCATAAGCGGGAAAGCGAAAATAAACCACGAGCCGAAATTGATCAAGTCACACTCTGGAAAGTAACTGCAAAACACATTTAGTTTAATTCACTGAAAACATCATTGGAATTGACCAACATGTTTTATAATAGCACCTACTTGCTTTGGAAGAAATTGTATTATTAAGGTTAAAATATTCTAAAATTAGTTCTTAAAATTTCAACAATAAATTACATCCTTAAGATCCCACAGATTAACCGTAAAATATTACTTTAAATCCTCTGTTTTGCCTAAAATGAATGTTTCCTTCTTTTTCTCACTTTTGTACAGTAAAATGCAAGATTTTACTCCAGTGTAGTCTTGGGTCCTTGTTCTTGAGCCTTTTATGGCCTTTAATAAATATCCCATTATGGAGCAAAGTGCACAGTCAGTGTTTGCACATGTGAAGAGGGAGTGTGGTCTGTCTGGAACTGAACCAGACTGATAAAACTGACTTGTTCAAAAGTGCTACTTTTTTATTTGTAAAAAAAATTAAGAATATTATACAGATTAATGGATTTATATAAATCAGAATGCAGAAAACGAGACAGTATGTCTGCACATTATGTACAGTGCAGTCAAATTAGTTACAACAGTGGTCAGTTCTCCACCCGGAGCTCTACTTTCCTGTGAAGTTTAGCTCCAGAATAGGTGACCACTGAAGTTAGAGGTTGTACCACTTGTACCTTAACTGTTTCTGCCAAACAGTATGTCTACTTCCGCTCTCAGTTAACATTTAACCCTTTTCACAGTATGGTCCAGGACCCCCTAATTACCCTTACCCTTTGAATGTCTCAAAATCAAAATTCTGGGGGCTCCCTGAAAGTAAACTTAGTATGACGTTATGCTGTCTGTTGGGGGAAAAATAGATGCTCAAATATAAATTCAGGTAAATGGCATTGTTAAGCTGCTTCACCTACAATCGGTGAGCTTCTGTCTTTGGTATTCTTAATAGCTAGAGATGTAGCACTGGTCTGCCTCAGGGTGGCGCTGTTGCAAATTGGTTCTCTCAGTTGGTCCTTCATAGCCTAGCAACTGTAACTATGCCCAGGATACCTCTGAAGAACTTTACAATATGCCAGAACATATTTACAGAAAACTTGCCCAATTTCCTAAGAGACTGGTACAAAGAGTGAACTGTTACTCATTTCTCAAGCTGAAGACAAAAGAGGAGATCTCAATTAATGTGTGGAAGAGTGCATTATCAAGCTAGAAAAGAGTATTTCCAAAAGAAGAATTGTGAAGCCAAATATTTTGTTGCCGCTATGGTGAGTGAATTAAGCTAGCAGCCACCCAATGCTGGAGTAGCCAGCCAACATTAATCCCCAGAATACCTGGGTATATTTCACACATTGGATGTATGAAACATTGAAAAGCTACCTCACAGAATGTTATTGCTATAAGTTGCGATAGTTTTGAGATAAGCTTTTGTCCTAAAATGTATTTTTAAAAATCCATTTATGCCAGAGAGGCACATTCAGGGCGTCATAAGGCGAAATAAGAAAGTGGTACAAAAATGGTTAGTACAGTGAAGTGGGTAACAGTGGGTAACACTACTGCTCTTCTTGTAGCATGAGTAGTGTTTGATTCCTGATTCTGGCAGGTATGCTATGCTATACCAATAAGAGTCCTTGGGCAAGACTTCCTTATTCGCCTGCTTTGGTAAAATGATTAAAACTGAAGAGCAGGCAGGATAACAGGATCTGTAAAAATGCTGTGAAATAGCACCCAAAGAAACTTTATTTCTTTCCGATTCCACTATTGCAACATTATCAATGTAACATATAAAAACTCAGAAAGCACGTGAAGGTTCACTGATTGTTTTGGATAGTAAATGCTATGGCCATATTAGCATTGTAGACATTGTGATCCCTGGTTCCTATCACATCCCACTGTGAAGAAATCTGAAATGTGAAGTTTTGCTCCAATGCACCATTTCACAAAACCCTGACTGTGTTTACATCTCAATCATTGAATATAGCAGACCTTTAGAAAAAAACTGTTGGAATTCCCCTTAAATTGTACAAGTCACAGCATTAGTATAATTAGTTTTTTTCTGTTCTTGATGTTGCTCTTCAGTTTTGCCTCTTGCTCTTGTCTGTTAGTTTGGGCTCTTTTAGGAATTTTGACTTGGACTTTTTGACATTTTGTTCAGCAATAATCTGATGACCTGCTGCCTGCATTTCAGATATCACACTAAACATAATAACATTTTAGGTAAACACATCAAAATAAGCCAAGTTAAAGTTTTAAGAGCACGATCCATGAATTAGGTAACACATTAAGCCCTTCACCAGCAGTTGTACAGAATGATCTGTCCTTGCACTCTAGGTAGTCATTGCAATGACCCTTTGGTCTTTCTGCACTTCCCTGATTAGTCATCAAATAAATGTTAGGGTTAATAATCATTAAATTATTTCACAAGTTACTAACATACATTTTGTCCAGCTGTCAGTTGCGTTGTTCATTAGAAACAGGATACACTCTGTGCTTTGGATTCCGGGAGCATCAACTGTGAGCCAGTTTTTCCAGACAATGGTTAAGTCTAGTTAGACCAAGTAATATTATAAAAGCATTTTCTTTTATAGAACTACACATAATCACTGGTTGGAAAACAGGCCCTAAATGTCACTACACATATATGTTCATTAAACCGCAGAAGAGATGAGCTGCTTCCTCTCATTATTTACTCATTCACTGGTAATGAATCCAGCAAAAAGCTTTTTCTAAAAAAACATACACACAACATCAGCTCTGCTGAAGTGGAAATTGACGCAATTGCATTTGACGAAATACTGCAAAGTTTTTTTCCATCTAATCTCTGTCTGCTACATCCATATATTACCATGAACTATAATTTACATGCCTTTTCCTTTTTATTTAGAAAAGAACCGGAAACGTATCGAAACAAAATACACAGAAGTCAAAGAGCAGCTGCTGAATTCTTTTGCGTTTTTTATGAAAAACACGTACTGCATGGGTTCAGACCGCTGTCATGTTGAATAGGGGACTACTCAACCAACAATGGAAATCAGCTCACACACTGTCAATCATAGACTGGCATAATCTGCTTGTTAGGCTGGTGGCAAATGAACATGTATCCTTCTCTCTGCTGGGCAGGTTACAATGGTATTACTTGAAATGGGAAAGATTTCTTCACTACATTATTGGCCCCTAACTGTGTCAGAAATACTCCTTGGTGTTTGGAGGGTCGCATGTCCATCATGGGTTCCCCCTTGAGTACCCATCGAATTCACTCTTTCTGCCAGTCTCTTGCAAAATTTTGGCAAATTTACAAATATGCTATGGCAGATTGTAAAGTTTTTCAGAGATATTTTGAGGATAGTTAAAGTTGCTAGGCTATGAAGGACCAACAGGGTGAACTAATTTGCTACAATGCCACCCTGAGGCAGACCAGTGCAGCATAGTTAATTAAGATTATTAAAGACAAAGCCTGCCAATTGTGAAGCAAGATAAACAATGACTTTTCCTTGAATTTGTTATTGTGTATGTTTTTTGCTAATGAACAGCAAACCTTCATAATAAGTACATTTTCAGGGAACTCCCAGAATTTGAGACATTCAGGGGGTCCAAGAGATTAATTAGGGGGTCCCAAACCACCCCCCTGACCCCCTGTATTTCACACCTTGTGTCTTAGAGACAAACTCCTGGCTTAGCACCCTTTCATGTACACGCACATATACACTTAACACATTCTGTGAACGTATTATTTGAAATTTAGTGGACTCAAAATTTAAAGGCAACCAGGTTACTTAAGTTAAAACTGAATCATTTTTTGACTATGAACAGTTATAGTTTCAAATATGAGCTATATAGTCATGTATTTCATACGTCTATTCACAGAGTTCAACATAGGCCCAATGACTCTAATTACAAGAAAGTTTTGACTCAACAGTTTTCTGTTATTTTCTGAGAACAGACAAAAATATCTGAATTACTGTCCATGGTAACTGACCATACTTTACTGATGAGGCAGATAAAGACTGGGTTAAAAAAGAGCCCCTTTCTGCATTTCCACAGTGTTTTTAAGTGTTCAGCTAAGGAACCTACTGGTCACACTAACCTTTTCATCTGCCCAATGAGGATGAGGTTAGGGGCTGTTCCCGTTAAGGTGGCCGTGCCCCCGATGCTGGCAGCGTAGGGGATGCAGATGAGGAATCCTTTCCACACTTTTAGCTGATATTCTGCTTCTTTCCTGACCTCCTCTGGGCTTCTCTGATCTCCTCTCTCCAGTCCATCAGCCCTATGAAGTCAGTGTAAGTACTGATTGTTGAGGTCAACATCAGATCATACTGCGGACGAAATGTTCTAGCCCAGTCAGGGGCGTTTTTCAGGACTACATAATATGAGCGTTTGTATCCAAGCCACACGTTAGCCACAATCCCTAATTGCAATTCATGGAATACCATTTAATGCAGATGACGCCCTTGTTATGCAAATACATCCACACTAAACTTGTATCCATTTACAGCATCTGCACCACATTCACAGTCATTGATTGGAAGATAATCACCTTGATAGGACATCCTGTCTTGCCTAGACATCATAATATTAGAGTCATAAAGGCCATTACTGAAAGAGAAGTCATTCCAGATGAACTCTCTGACATTTGATTCAGGAGTTTTCACTCTCTCACCTGTCATCTCCGGTCAGGGTGTGCTTTTCTGAAGGCAGCACATGCAGCTTCACCTGAGATTGGCCTGCAGAGACAGAATAACGATTTTCAAATAAATTCCTTTTCTTTGTGTATCCTCGAATATTACGTGGCTTTAGGTTTGTGCTCACTGATGCTTGTACGTATTTAAAAAAGGGGAGATTGTGTAAAAAGAGACAGAACTGTCCTGGTTTAAGCTAGTTTAATGATTCCACTCACATTTAAGACTGAACCACTATATTATGTAAACTGAACAAACACTATGGTTCAAAATTTGGAATCACTGTTTTAAATAATATCAAAGCAACTTGATTTCAGACAAGCATATAAAATTATACAAAAAAAAATCTACATTCAATCTCATTTTTTTGTCAATTTTATTTTTCTGCATCATTTGAACATGGCATTTACATTGTGTAAATATTTCATGATGAATGGACCAACAGAAATGCTCCAAAATGCCACAAAAACACCTTTGTACATTAACTTACAACACTGTAAAGTCAATTAAGAATTTTTTTCCCACTCCTATAAAGTTACTGTTTTGGAGATACATGTCTTTTGTGGACTGCAATAATATGCTAGACTAATATGCTAATGTGCAACTTCTTAAGTTTCAAATCATTTGTTGGACAACAAGAAGCAGTAAATAAGAGATTTTCATTGTGTCCTGATGATGATCAAAATGGCTGACAAAGCTGTATTCATCAAAACTTAAGTTATAATAAAATTAATTTAAAAAAAATTAGAGCAAATCTCAAGGCAGGTAACCTGACAAAAAATCAATGTAAACAGACAAATTGTATATTATTGACAGTTTAATAACTTCACAGTTCCTGAAATATAACATCAATTATTACAGTTCCTGAATAAAACATCTAAAAATAACATCTAGCAAATAGTTCACAATATCCATATTGACATACTAAAAGGTATTATTATACATAAAATAACAAAGATTTTTTATATTGCAAGTTATTCCAAAATTTTTTAATGGTAGTGTACGTTTCCATACTATACACCATTATCTACCAGTGGCATAACCAATGAGCCTCATGGGGGCTATCTTTATTGGGCCCCTCATATAGACAGCTGAATATGACATAGAGTTGTGATCCAAACTGCCAGTCTAATGTAAACATTTAAGTTAAAGTTAGATGGCAATTTTTGTGGGGGGGGGGGCATTTTTCACAGGGAGCCCATAAGATACATAATGCCACAATATAATATACAGCGATTAAGCATGTGTGTATACACACACACACACACACACACACACATATATATATATATATATATATATATATATATATATATATATATATATATATATACATATATATATATATGTGTGTGTGTGTGTGTGTGTGTATGGTGTTTATTTCACAGCTTATCTGACTTGAATCTTTTAATGTGTAATAATGCTACACCACCATGACGATTCTGAAGACCCTGTGACTACAAGCTCAATGCTCAAAGTCCACAGACTGGTTTATTTATTATAACACCAGAGGGTCCAACTCTAAAACAAAATATATTTGCGTTACTTCTTCTTTACTATGACAACCCCGACCTAAGAACACAGTCACTAAAAGCATGTCACTTTGTCTTACAAAGCTATTTATAAGGGAATCAGTTGATTGCGAAATAATTCCATTGTTATATCACATTATACTTCTCTCACACACTGTCATAATGGCAAATTCCTGTCTGCAGGAATCTTTGAAGATAAAGACAATACAGTCACAGTCTTCCTTATTGCCAAGGAAATAATTTGAAGTCTAGTGGGTGAAAATCACTCTGATGTATGCATCAGGTCCATAAGAGTGCTACTGTAGAAAATAGCTGTATAATAGGGCTGATTTTCCAGACATCCCATCTAGTTTTTTATTTATATGCAAATAAAAAAAACTGGCTAAGTGTTCTGAGAGGTCTGATCTCTATAGACATCAAAAAAGAGATGAGAAAGAGAGCACTCTCATTATATGCAAAAATAGCAGTACATCTCTAAGGATTTATTGCTCCAGTGATCTTAAATTCTATGCTTTTTACATCCCAGAGCTTGTTATTTAGTAATTACATGTACTACAATGCAAACCATCTGAGTTATTCTTAAGTTATAGAAGTATGATACAAGCTCCTGACCATTTAAAGGGTTAAAGGAAAAAAGTGACCTTGAATAAACAAACCTTGATTGATGCCTACTCACAAAGACACAGCCTTACACAGAAAGACAAACTCACACATAAATGCCCACTAGCATACACCCCAAAGTCTGCCCAAAGTCACCCAAATGTACACTCTTTCACTCACCTTCAGGGTCATTCTTGACTTTGGCGTTCTCTTTGAGGGTCTCCAGGTCACCGAACAGGCTCTCCAGGATGGCGTTCGCAATGGGCAGCATCATGGCTGTGGTGGCAGTGTTACTCAGCCACATGGACAAGAAAGAGGACGTGAGCATCATCCCCAAAATCAACCTGGAGAAGAACACACACACCTATATATTAGTAATTTAAGCTCTGTTTGTGCTGAATTAGTTTGACCTGGAAAGGTGCTGCAATTTGAGTAAGATCAAGGAGATTAGTGATTTTAGTCTGGTATGAATCCATTTGCCTAGCCTGTAGTTTTTACACGTCTGATAAGTAATAATTCCAGAGCAGATTACCTTCTATACAGCAATTTGTCCTGCTTCAGTAATTGTAGTACTGTTTGAAATTACTTTAAGGTAATGTAATAATGTAATAATGTAATAGACATCGGCACCTCTGTTTCCTGGAGGAAGGGAGACGAAGCTAAAATGGAGCTCTTGGCACATTTCCTTTATCCTTAAATTCAAAACAGGAATATTATGATGTACAATGTTTTTAATGATGGGCTAATTAGAAAGAGAATGAAATTAATTATCTGAAGGTACTTCTCACAAGGAAGAATGATATTTAAACAGCACTACATTCAGGATTATAGCATAGCAACTACAATCTCAGAAAAATAGTGCTAAAATGTCACTGGGGTGGTACTCCACATGTCACTGACGTGGCTGACGTGGTACTTCCAAGACTATGTCTTTGTTACCTTTGGTAAGAGAACATAATCATACCATATTTCAGTGGAATTAAGCTAAGTTGATTCTATACACCCTGCCTTTATTCCAGGCTTTTTTAAAACTTTTTTTATTTTAAAACATTAAGTTATGAAAAGACAAAGTGAATGTGGTGTGCCCTTAAAGCTTACTTAAGTTCTTTGACTGAATTAGACCTTACAACCATTAGTGCACCTTTGTACTACTTTGTATACATTGTATATACCTTGATGAACAAAAAGGTACCTATATAGTACCTTTTTGCTGACAGTGTAGGCCTGACACCAAGGCTTGATTTGAAAGGGGATGCAAAAGGATGGTGCCCCTCCATTAAAAAAGAGTGAAAAAATCATCCTCCATGTACAACTGCCATTCTTTTCATTATTTTTGGATTTGTCATTAAGAGATAAGATTACTTTTTATTAAAATGTTTAAGATGTTTGCTGAACATATTTTCATTCCAATGACATTTAGGATTTACAAGGTAAGCTGCAACAGAGCATTATTTGTATTGTACAGTCATATATAAAAGTTTAAACACCCCAGTTAGATTAGGTTTTGTTGTTTTTCTAAGTGAAAAAGTTAACACGTTTTCCTCTGCTAAAAAACTCAATATGGCATTTTCCTGCTAAATTTAGAGGACAATTTCAATGTATTTGAGTTTAACATATTAGAAAAACTAAAACATAAAATGTAAAGTTTCGCTGAGGCCACATTTCACGTGTGTGTGTAAATTTGTAAAAATATGTATTTTGGTGAGGGGTGCACAAACTTTTGCATAAGACTGTATGTCATGTATTTGCAGTACCCCCACTTCCACTCAGTTTACTGAACTTTCCATCCCCCTTGAAATTCTACAATTCGGCCACTGGCTGACATTATGGATTATATTAGTAATGAAGTAACCCACCCATTACCAGGCAATGAAAAATGCTCTTAACTGAACAGTAACAACATGCCTTTCACATGTTCTAGAACACTTCATTGGAAAAAATGCATCATTATGCAAAGTGTCAACTAAGACTACTTTTTTAACTGAGTAATCAAGTTTAATTGTGTAATTGTCACAGCAACACAACCAGACAGGGATGTACAGAACACATCATTATTTGCACACTGGAACTCAGTAAGAGTGAACTATCACACCATTGACAGTTGCACCACAAAATGACTGAATTATTAGTGTATGATGATGACACAAACTTCAAACATCCTCATCAGACATCATCTGCTCTACGAATCTGAGTTCATTTGCCTAACTTCACCTGTTCAGAATTCAGGAGACTCCACAGTCAGCCAGAGACCAGAGATTTGTGGTGCTGGGAGTTACGGCCTGAATGAATTCTGTTCGAAGACTTTGAAATTCTGAGCACAGTGCTCTCTGTCTGAAGAGCTTTGGCTAAAAATCAAGATGTTTCTAAAAAGACGCCTTGGTGGGCATGGTAACCAGTAGGCATTTATTCACTTTCAGTGGTCATGCTTTGTGACATTCACTGTCATGTTCTGTCAGATAATGCTCAGAATTAAAAGTACAGAGCTATTTCACTGACATGAGACTACACCATATGAATTGATTGAAAATGTTTCAATCCATCATCTATTAACCTAAAGAAATGCTGTCCTGAAGAGAATGAGCCAAGGACTGTTATGCTCCCAAAGAATATATATTACAAGGACAACATCTTAATGTATGAAGAATCTTTGTTGCTATATGAACTGTACTGCAGAAGAAATATTTCCAATGCTACTATTCCCCTAAAGAACCATGCACTGCATCACAGATAGATCAGCTAAATACCAGTTTCCTGTCTCTGGTTGATCACACCTTTATCTGATCCTCTGCCCCCAACTCTTCCACTTCAGCTCTCATCACAATGTTCTATATATAACACATCAAGAACAACAAAAATGTTTGTGACTTCCTACTTCACATACGGTGCGCATATGTCTCCATCAATCTACATATACACGTCTAATTACTCTAATGTGTGTCCGAACTATCTTTGGAAGAACAAACAGAAATTAGTGGTATGGTGATTAGTGATATAGTGGTATGCTTCTATAAGTACACTCTTCGTACATTAGTACAATGAACAGGATCCACAGAAGATTATCATTTCTCATTAAACTGACAGTCTCACCAGGCTGGTTTCACTCCAACAATCTTCAGCACCTTGAGGGCAATGCGTCTATGCAGGCCCCACTCCTCAATCGCTGACGCCATCACCAGCCCACTCAGGAAGAGGAAGTTAGTCTCCAGAAAGTATTGAGGGCAAACCTTTTTGGAGGGCAGAATGCCCATGGTGGGGAAGAGACAGACGGGCAGCATGGCGGTCACTGCTAGTGGGAGGGCTTCTGTACACCAGAAAAGTGCCATCAGGAGCACCACATACAAACATTTTCCTTCCTGCAAGAGACAGAAAAGCAAGGGAAGGATTATGTAAGGACTGGGATGGATGAATGGATAGATGGATAGATGGATGGATGGATGGATGGATGGATGGATGGAATAGTGGATGTATGAATGGATGAATGGATAGATTGTGGAATAGTGGGTGTATGAATGGATGGATGGATGATGGAATAGTACACGTATGAATGGATGGATGGATGATGGAATAATACATGTATGAATGGATGGATGAATGGAATAGTGGATGTATGAATGGATAAATGGAAAGATGATGGAATAGTGGGTGTACGAATGGATGGTAGGATGGATGATGGAATAGTAGATGTGTGAATGGATGAATGGATGGATGATGGAATAGTGGATGTATGAATGGATAGATGATGGAATAGTAGATGTATGAATGGATGAATGGGTGGATGATGGAATAGTCGATGGATGAATGGATGAATAGATAATTGGATGGATGATGGAATAGTCGATGTATGAATGGATGAATGGATGGATGATGGAATAGTAGTTGTATGAATGGATGAATGGGTGGAAGATGGAACAGTGGATGTATAAATGGATGAATGGATGGATGATGGAATAGTGGATGTATTAATGAAAGAAATGACTGGAAGGATGTAAAAATGAATTGGTAGATAGATGGATCTATAAATGTATGAAAAATGGGTTGATAATGAAAGTATTCATGAATATATAAACTGATCGTAATTTGGATTTTTTTTTTACAAAGCTTGATTTCTCAGCTAGCCAGAGAAGTTAAACCAACAAGTCAAACCTGTCTAATAGGGGAAAAGGTAAGGGGCATTCCTGTTGGACAAGTGGACACATTGATCTTAATCCTTTAAACTGTAGAGTTATTATTCATTTATATTATTAATATCAAGGCTTATTATTCAGTGATTCCTATGAATAATTCAATAACCACTGTGAAACTCCTGTACCAAATAGTTATGAGAGTGAGAAAAGAAAATCTGGACTTGTCAGAAGATCTTTAGAGTTAGTAAAACATTCTACATTGCACCCTTTTCAGTATCACAATCTCATATGCACAGTACACTGAATGGATCTCAGATTGTAATATAACTGCAACATTTAAAACATATTTGAATCTGCCTATATTCGTGCGGGCTGGCTGAGTACTAGCAATACTGTAACAGTGTAATGAAGAATGAGTACAGCAGGGGTTCTCGCACATGACTGAGCTGATTTAACATCACTGAGGGAGAAGTAATGTTAAGGTACTGCTTACCTCATATCACCTAAACATCTTATGACTGTTATTGGATCTAAGACACTTCTTTTCAATACTAAAACTGCATCAGTGGCATCTGTACACAAGTATCCGGTGTGAATGTGTGTGTCTGTGTTTGGGGTGGTGTTGAGGGATCTGTGCTAAAGGTACATTGCGTACAATTTTCATTTGTCACTCATAAGTCACATATTACTGACTTGCAGCTAAGTCACATGTCTGGTTACATGGTTGATTGTGACAGCAAAATAGTAAGTTACATCCATGTGACTAGCTAATCAATAGGCTAATATGTGACTTATGAGTGACAAGTGAAAATTGAACCTATTGAACCTTTAACACAGACCTCAATATCGATGTTATTCTGATTGAGCCATTTTTAAGCTTCAAACCTTTATCACGTGCTAACAGTGAGTAAAAACATACAATCGCAAAACAAAAGTTTGAATGCTCTCAGTCTAATGACGTTTTGTTGATATTCTAAGTGAAAAAAGTTAACACGTCCTCTACAGAGAACAACCTTGAAATTGAATTTGTACAATTCAATGGATAAACAGTAATTTTGCATTAAAATGTGCAGATGTGTGTTCTCTGTGGAGGATGTGTTATTTGCCTTATTTTCACATAAAAAAGTAATAAAACATGTCATTTGAGCAGTAGCGCCAAAATTTTGTGCACTACTGCACCTTTAGAACTGCACCATGGTTTACAACTTTCATTCACAACAACATAGCCAGCTTATTTAGTTTAAGATAAAGATTTTCTCAGCAATTATGCGCTTCCTAACTGCATTCACTTTTTTTTTATTTTACATTTAACTATATACATCATGACTACTGATGCAAGATGTCTGGAACAAGTAATCCTCAAAAACCAAATAGTCCAGGCAGTAATGCCACAAATATTCACCCCTAAATCACACTGTTGACACCTGATGATCACATCAAGCAGTGGGGGCCTTAAGCGACACCCTGTTTGGTGGTCTCGATCATGTGCTTTAACACACAAACGTGGAAAAATGAATTAATACTTGATTCATTCTGACCATGAAAAAGATCAATACCATGGAAAGATAAATGTGATTTAATGATAAATAACTACATGCAGGGGAAAAGAACCTTAGAACTATATTAAACTAAATCAAACCACTAGATGAATTAAGTAAGTAAACAAACAAACAAACAAACAATACATGCAAATATATTGCAATATATGTTTAAATGTGCATAATTTCTGTTTTCTCGTAGATTTGGAAGCAAATTCATTGAATCAGTCCTCATATCTTGCTGTAAGTATCAAGATAACCTACCTGTTAATAAAAATAAAATGAATTACAACATATTCATATAACCCCTCATGGTCCAGGGGCCTTTAGTGACTCTTTATACTGCTTAGAGAAAGAAGGACACCTGCGAACAGTGATGTTTGATTAGATCCTCAGATCACTTACTGCCTCTGTGATATTAGGTCACTGAAGCAGTGCATAGCTGAGAGATAAGCTTATCATTGAGAACCCTGATGATCAAATATAAAACCCAAAGAGAGAAAGCAGTGGCCCTCACCCTGTAAAAAGGTTACAGGGTGCAGACTGACAGACCACCACAGGGAAGCAGTGACTCAGGCGCACAGCACGCTCTTTCCTGACGTTAAACAGGTTCTGACGGTGAAGAATCACCACCGTAATGAACACAGCCTACCTTTGCCGGTAGGACGAAGAGCAGAGGCAGCAGCAGCAGAGGCGTGAGGAGGACAATCAGCTGTTTGCGAACGCTCCAGAGTTTCTTGGAAAACTTCAGCAAGTCCATAGCGTAATGAATCGTTATTTCCTCTTGGTGAGCCCCTCTTCGCCAAAACTCAGCGCAGTTCAGACCATCGAGGCTCTTTCTCTCGCTTTATCGCGTTTTCTTTGTTGATTTTTAGCACGGCGGGAGAAGATTAACCACTGGTTTACACGTTAACTCTTCGTGCGTAATGCGCACTTTTCAGGCTTTTGCTCAGTTGCAGGTTTTCAGGTCCACACTGGCCACTCTGAGGGGTCTGCCACGGTGACATAGCCTGTCCCGAGAAAGTCAGCGCTCATTCATGTAAATATGCGGCTTTTAGAAGGTGCTGCACTGGTGACCAAACTGGGTGGGCCATAGGAATGATTATAAAGATAAGACGGGAGGAGGTGTGCATTACCTTAGGTCAAACGTCTAAACGTACATGCCTCTTCTTTCTGCTGAAAATCATGACACACATTTTACATGATGTCGCCTCTCTTGTAGACTGTAGTGTTCCAGTAATGATCCTCTTTCAGCTGTGTCTGTTGTAACTGGACTTAATAAGAAATATGTGCTTAATAAGAACTATGTGGTTATGAGACATGGGCGTCCACACCACTAAGCTCTGATCTCAGCCATCATTGCACACATATGGTCTTACCAAACAGCCATTCCTCTTGGGAGGATTTCGGCTCATAAGCTCTTAACCACATTATGGAAGTCACTAATGGTTGTCCGGACTCAAACCGCAAGTAGGCTGGTTCTTATCAGTGGCTGCAAAGGACATTGACCTTCAGCTTTTCAGCTGAGTGCCAGATGTGGAATAAATAAACATCAGGAATAAAAAGATGAAACTGTTACAGATTCTAGGCCCTGAGAAGCAGGACTCCGGTAGCAGAAAGAGGGTCATTCCTTGTATGTAAGATATAGATCTAAGAAGTGCAATATTTAATTGAATTGAATTTATGGAAAATCAAGATGAATATAAGTATGTAAGTGTATATGAGTTTATGAGAGGGGGCGCATTGCCAATTTTTACCCACTGTAACAAAGTCTTTTTGCCTTAACTTGAAGTAAGTAACCCTTCTGCCTTACAGCAGTGAGTTAATTGAGCATGAAAAAATAAATTAATATAATAATAATATATCTTAAAGTCTGCTAATGTAAATTTTAATAAGGGCAGTTTATTTCCTTTTTTACCCTCTATTGCACGATGTTGCCTCTGGGCAACAAACCCATTTTCCTCATTTTACACTACATTTATACATATTTAACGACAATAACAGTTAACAATGAAGAGCAGAGTTTGAGTAAGTCAATAAAAAGCACGTGTTTGGTCATACTGTCTCTTTGTGGACACTTTTAAACCTCTTTTTTAACATTCAGTATCATTTTTTGTTATGAGAATTTGCAGAAGTATGTTTGTTGCCTAGAAGCAACATTGTGAGACAGTAGAAGGGCAACATACCCCAAAAGGACCCATGAACACATCATTATTTAAAAATGTTTTTGAATTTTAGGCAAGAAAAGTAAATAGGGATAAGGTACGGTGGAGGTTGCAGTCTTTTACTGTAGTGACTTTCTGTAAGTCCTGTAGTTACACTTTTTTTTTAACCAAAATGTATCCAAAGAACCATGACCACTCAAAGAAGCTTGCATGCTGGTTAAATCTCTATGATTCTCTATGATGGTTAAACTCTTGTATATGGTTCACTAAAAAATCTTTTAATGGTTCTATGTAGCACTAAAAAGGGTTATGAGTTATGAGTCAAAGAACCGTTTTTTTATTTAGAGAACTTTTCTTATGAAAGCTCATTTTCTGTGTATGGCAGCAGTTTTTAAAATAATGACTAATTTTCTCAGAAGTTTAACTCAATATCTTGAAATAAAGTATGTTTTTCTTGAAATATTGATTCTGTATCTTGAAATAATTTTCTCTAAAGATTGACTTAGTATTTGGTTTGCCAAACTCAAATTAAGCCAAAGAGCAGTTGAAAATCCCTATTGATGCTGTAAGGTAAAACTAGGGTTGACCAGTATTCATAAAACCGGTTCGTTCAGCTTTTAACATGCACATCAGGTTACTGGAATGCTTCACATGGGTATGGATCTTTAGGAGAAGCCCCTAACTGAGCTGTAATTGCTGCCCTTTCAGAGGGGAGGACTAATTAGGCTTTGATTTTTTTGCCTTTTAAAGAACCCAATTTTTTTTTTCTTTAAGGAATGAAAGCTTTTTTTTTCTTCAAGACCACTACGGGGTGTTATGATGTGCTCCATATCAGACTGAATCCTCCTGAGTTGCTCTGTAAGAGATCCTTTTAACATTGTCCTATTGTTCAGATGCACTTAAGTGGATGGTTGAATGTTTTGATGGCTGCAGTTCTACTGTGCATTGCATTTTATCTCAATCTGACTCACAGTTTCTGCCGTACTTTCTTCGCTGGCTTTTTAGTGGCACTTCAGTGCTATCAGTGATTCACTGTATGTCTATTTCAATACTTTCAGTATGTTTTTCTAGCTCATTAGCAGTGAAGGACTTGCATACATGCACATCAGTTACTGTTAATAAATTATTGCTTTTAACTATCCCGGAAAAGTGTTCTGCACAGGCAAATAACATTCCTCCTATAGCAGAAATAAATGTTCAAAAATGAAGTGTTTACAGAAAAGTTCCTCTGCTAGCCCATCATACTGTAAAGAAAAGGGACCGTTCAATATTCCTATCCAAGTTTCATTAAGGAGAAAGATAGCTGCAAATGGATGTAAACGCTGTGCCTGAGCGGGATGAATCACACATGGAGCTGCTCCTTTTGTTTGAGCCCATTCCAGCTGTTCTCATGCTGTGTTAGTGTGTTAGTGGGCACCCTATCAAGACTATGGCTTTTTCTTTAAATGCCACACACGCAGTTTAAAACACACCTACACACACGGCTATCATATGCTCTCAGCTCAAGTGGAATGGAGAAGGAAGGTAAAGTGCGTAAGAACTTGTGACAATTTTGCACCTCAGCTCCACTACGCCCTCTAGAGGCCAATCAGTTGACACCTTTCAGGCATTTTAAAGGCATGTCTACAGTATAGCTGACATTCCTCAGAGGACTGTCGTAAATCAAACCAGTGCTAGAAACTCACTGGGATTAATTATACATTGTTGGAAAAGGAGGCTCCTCTAAGACAATGTCAGTCTAGTTCACAGGGTCCTTTAGCCAGTCCACATTTTTGTTCTGCTCTTTTGTTCTCCAGACACACCTGAGTCAGGTCATAAAGAGCTGGAGAATGCTTACTGCCTGGGTCAGGAGAAAAAAAAAAAAGAAAAAAATGCAAACTGCCCTGGGTCTCTGGGGCTGGGTTGAGAATCTCTGCTCTATTTTTATTTTCAAAAAAGACATTTTTATTAATCAGTATTTGTTTTGAGTATTTCTTACAAAAGACTAGTCTAGTCAATAGGGCTTTTTCTATCATTTAAAATTTTCCAATGCCAATACTGATACCTTGAACTTGACGATCCTTTTCCAATACCTTCTCTTAAATACAAACAAACAAACTAACAAACAAGCATATTTCAACATAAAACTAAATATTATATAAAGAACAAAAATAAAATTTGTAGATTGATTTACAAAAATTCAGTTTTACAATAGGAAACTAACTTGATTTGTGTCAGTTTTTGTTAAACGCATGTCTATTGACTTAATGATATTGACTACTTAGGTACTGAATTGAAGGCAGTGAACAGCATGGAATTTTTCAGTACTGTGTAGTACTGAAAGAGTTCAGTCACTGCCATAGAAGTACGACAATATCAGAATCACAGTGGTGTTGGCAGTTATTTGCTTTACTGGCATTTTATTAATTTTACTACAGTTCTAGCTATATAGACATAAGTGTTATAAGTCTCCCTATTGCTGGTCCAGGGGGATCTAGTCCCAATTTCTACATAAAAGGTTTATGCATCGCTATCAGTAGATACACAGGAATCAGTATTGGCCCACAGTGACAATATCGGTGCATCCTTACATAGAGGTATTGGATTTTGATACACAACCATTCTACTGAGTGCAACTTTCCTAGGTGTCTCATGGTGTAAGCCATCTTACATTTTGTTCTACACATCTTACTTTTGCTTTTTTGAGTTTTCCTCATCAGTAGCTGATCAAAACAAGCTATGAAATGCTTTTGAACATGCAGATTCTGAACTATATGTTATTATAATTGAAATATGATATAAGGTTCTGTTAGCAGTCTTGTTTTGTGGAAAGAACATCTTTTACATTTTAGTGCTTTTGTCTTTTATTGACATAAATGTTTTAATATAAAATGTGAAGGAAAAGAATGTGTAATTCATTACATAGTCATATGCCAAAATTTGAACATTTGAAAATTGAAAATTTGAATTTCTTTCATTCTCTACAGAGAACAAGCTTAAATATGCCATTTTTCTGCAAACACAACATGTAAAATATGCCAGAACTTTTGCACAGGCCACATTTTTATGTTTTTTTGTCATTATGTTAAATTCAGCAAATAAACAATAATTGTGCATTAAAATGTGCAGAAGAGTGTAGAAGATCAACAAAATATGCCATTTTATGTGGGGTGTCCAAACTTTTGCATACAGCTGTCATCAGTTATGCAATTATGTGATGTGTTATGACAACAGAAGTATAGCTACATGATAACAGTAAGACTGTAGGGTTAAAGCAGTTATGTGATTTGGCTGCCCTGGAGTGATGTGAGTACACATGGAATTGTTTTGGTGGTGAGTGCGTGTGTAAGTGTATCTGAGGTCAGGGGTCAGACACATGGTCAACTGCAGCTATAGGCACAGCACTGTGTTAACTTCTCCTTGACAACAGATTAAGAAGATCTGCCAGTGGCAAGACGTGAGTGTGTGTGTGTGTGTGTGTGTGTGTGTGTGTGTGTGTAAAGGTTTGTGTGTGTGTGTGCCATGCATGTGTGTTTGTTACTTAGAAGGCTCTTATGTGGATTTTTTCTTCATTTTTACTTCAGTTTTTAATTATCTTCACATCCTTTAACATGCATTTGCTTCTGCTTATTGCTGTCTTTCTTTTATTTTTGCTATTTTGTAAAGAAAGACAGCTCTTTTCTGGCTCAACGCTCAATCGGTTTGTTGCTTTAGTTGCTTGGTGATGCCAGATAGCATGTGCACTAGAAATAAGCTAAGGGAGTAAGATAAGGTATATATGAGGAATATCTTACTTCTAGTGCACATGCTGAATACCTTACAAAGAACTTCATAAGTAGATGATGGGTTAAATTAGATGAGCTTGACAGCTGTATGAGGCTGTTCTGATAGCTGTACTGTACTTCAATTAGAGCCTATTGATAGCTTTGTCATAACATAGAGCTTTCTCCACCAGGAAACAGCTTAGCTAGAAAGGTGTAATGATTTCAATACCATCATCAGTTCCCAAAACTAGGCACCTGGGTGCATATTATCAGAATAAAGTGGGCAGAAAAGGGACATGGATTATGCTATACACACATCCCCACTCAAACAACTTTTTCTCAGAGGCTGCTCATAAATTCTAAATTTGTATTCGCACTTCTGTAAATGTGTATTTTTTTTTCAGATCAAGAAATAAAGTGAATCCTGACTTTTAGAATCACATATCAAATCTGAAAAGATGTTACAAGCCTTTTGAAATCTCAAGTAGCAATAATGTTAAATGGAACAATACCTAAT